TGATTCCACACCATAGAGGCAGTGGCTCTTCTCCCACAGATCGGTCTGCTTCTGGATGTGTTCCCATCACTCAGCAGCGGTCTTAACAGCAGTGTGCTATTAATGGTGTTTTGGCTCTTATCAGAATATCCTGGAGATTAATTTTGCTGAAAGAGAGACAACTGAGTTTAGCTGACTTCTGATAACTGCTTATCTCTTTTGTTTTTATAAAGTGTTTCACTAAATAATCTGTCCAAGTACTTAATTCTCAATTATTTTTTCCCTGATGCTGAACTCTCCCTTGTTAAACAGTTTCCATTGTTTCTTTTTCCTGTACTTCCTGTCATTTCCTGAGTAGGAGAGTTTATGACCTTTCCCCATATAGTGATGATTTATATCTTTGAAGTTTGTTATTTGGCTCTTGTCTTCCCTCCTCTGGACAAAGTTCTTTCTGCATCTCCTCAGAGGCTATGTAATTATTCTGTATTTCTGGGCTTATAGTTTTCCTTTCAAGAAGAAAAATTAATAGCTTTAATGTTATTTCTACTTGAAAATTCTTCTCCCTCTATTATAGTTCTCTTATTATAAAAAGAAAGCAGATAGGTTTGTAAAAGGCTTTGTAGAACATGATAGAGTAATTTTAGTTTATATAACAGAAGTAAGGGAGGATTTTTGAAAACAGAAGACCATGTCTGATTTCATGGATAGGATAATAAAGTGGACATGCAGAGTGTTGAGCTGTTTAGAGTTTGCAGAGGCAAGTTGTAAAGATGGTTTAGCTTCAGAGGTTTTTTTTTTAAGTAGGCTAGGCTGGTAGTAAACATTTCAAGAAGTAAAGCTCTGATAATAGTCTGGTCACAACTTCTGTTGAACTTGCAAATATCAGCCACATGGGTCAGTAAAATAAGTTACTCAAAGCGTGGTTTGGGTTGTGTCTCCTTAAAGAGTTCAAAAAAGTAAGTAGATTAGATATTCCTATCAGATTAAGAGAACTTCTTAATTCTTGGAAACATTTCCTGCACAAGACAAGGTCACTGGCATTTGTTGCTTGTGCTTGACAAATCTAAGAAGAAGAACAAGGGGATTCTCAGGATTTGTATGTTAGTGAAATGCTAAGTGTAATTTTAAAATCTTGCTTCTTTGAAGCATACAGCATACGTAAGTCTAACAACTGTCTTGTTACTCATAATAACAAAGGCTAGAGAAGTAGATATTTAAGGAATATCTCCTTGTATCGGACAAAATCCTATGCTATTTCTCGTTATTCTTCTACTGAAATTAGTGTAATACAAAGTTTCTCCCTCTTTTAACAATTTAAACTTATTGTTAAATCTGATTTAGGCATTCTTCTCCAGAATTCACAGACCTTATGTGTCATATCTTGGATATTACTGTTAGTGATTTAATGTTACTACATGAAATATTTCACTTTAGTCTTAATACAAGTGTAGAAGGTAAGGCTTATTTAATTTCAGTATGCATCTTTTTTCTTTCTGTTCGTTGTTTTTCTTTCTTTCTTTTATTTTTTTATTTTTTTTATTTTTTTTGTTCTCAATATAGTTAACACCACTGATCGTTCTGTCACAAATCACTTTGCTTGTGAAGGTTCAAATAGTGAGAACTTGTATTTTTGGCTTCTCCGTGTCACTGCAGTACTTAATGGACCTCTATTTTGTTTGCATTTTTCACATCATATTCATGGAGCACAGGACTTTTCCTTAATTTGTAATAAATTTTAGATTTGAAAAGACTGAGGTTTTCTTATTATTAACTGCATTGTATTGCTGCTAGCATGATACAGGCCAGGTCATATGGACTAAGTAATCAATCTAACAACTGACTTTCACAGCATTTTTTTGTAGAAAATGTGAGGCAATTTCATGACAATAAGGTGGCTGATTTTTCACTACTCCAGAAAAATTTGCTGTCTTTTCAGAGCTTTGTCTACTGAATTTAATATTTCCTACTCTGGATAAAAATGAACCAAAAAACTTTTAATGATTTCACTTTCTAATTGGTGAAGATTTAACTTCACAATTCCATTTTAAATTTCATTTTTTATTTATGTATTGCTAAATGTATTTTTAAAATGTCTGTTGTCTGTGTAGTGCCCACACATGCAGTCTCCGGCTGTGCATAATGTACTTAAGATGAGAGGATGTTTCAGTTATTCTCTTCTGAGACATTTTGGTAACTATTTATATATATAATGACTCTTATTCAGAAAAAGCAGATACAGCTTTCTACTTCTTTAGAAAAAGTCAATAGTATTCTTTCTCAAACAATGTTTAAACTCATTTTTCCCCAAGGAAACTTCTGATTCTCTCATTCATGTTGACATTACCTTTCTGCTTTTTCTCTTCTTGCTTTGTTCTTGCTTTCACCAGATATGTACAAAAATAAAGAAAATGAATGCAATAGCAACAGTATTTTCAATCCAATGACTTTTTTCGCTTTGTTAGTTCTTATTTTGACCCATACAGATTTTATTGTTTGAATTACTGATAAAGAGCAGCTTTAAACTGATGCCTTTATAAGACTGAATGAAATGCCAGATAGCCACCTATCTTTCCTGCTATCTTCTACCCAGAAAAATAACAAGAAACAAAGGCTAATTTCATCTCATATGACGATTTACCTTGGGGTTAAGTGATCCTAAGGATGTTTGCTGTTGAAAGATCTCAGAGCATTCTATGGGATCAATATACAGGTCATTTTATAACACTGTAGCTTTCAGTGAACACCTGTCATCAGTGTTCAGCAGATCATTGTCTGCAAAATAACCACTAAGTTGCTTCAGCTATTTGTTTAGGTATAACAGATATGTTGAGATATAAAGTGCTGTTTATGCTGCACTGTTATTTTTCTCAACTTTTGAACGATGAAAAATTTAATGAACTTATTTGAGATTTCCAGATGAACATTTAGCAACTTGGCTTTTACACTATTAGTCAACAATCTGTTAAGGGACTGATGTCTAGGATGTAGGTCTAACAACTAATGTTGCAGCCTCCCTGAATTTGAGGGAAAAGGGAATTGACTAAATTCATGACAAGGGCTACAGCTTTGTTTTATAGGCTGGCTTCTGAACTTCTAGGTGAGGACTGGACAATCTGTGCCCTATGGACAGAAGCAGCTTGTTTGTAGACCAAGCACTGCTTTCGTGGTGGCGCTGCCCCATAAGATGAAGGCAACTGACTTTGGCAGATTGCAGAGGTGCCACGGGACAAGTACACAGTGCCACCTTCTGTACACCACTCCCCAAGGTGGGTTTCTGATGTCTGCAGTGAGCAGGAGCTGTCAGGTAAAGGTGACAAGACTCCTTTGGCTTTGTTCTTCCTCATAGTCTAGTCTCATGGATTTTGATGGCTCTGAGCAGCAATCTCACTCAAGAACCAGCGCAGCACCCTGTAATTCTCAATCCTGGACACAGTGGAAAAGACTCAGGAGTGCTCATTCCTCTCATGAACCAACGTTTGCTGTACTGCTGGGTGTCTGGCTGTGCTGATTAGAGGATCAACAGGGCTAAGTGAAGGGACAGTTCCCTTTTTGGTTTTATGTTTTTGCACAGTGTCCAACTGAGAAGAAGGAGGAATGCCTCTCGGTTTTGTGCCATACAAGCGCCTGAATTAAAAGAGGCTCCTGATAGAATAAATGATAACATCTTTTTATATAAATGGGCCATGAGGAAATACTGTCTGTCTGAGACATAACAGTTCAGGCTAAAGAAAGCTTTGTACTTTCTAGGCAAGATGTTTGGCAGCTGATTAAAAGACTTGGGAAAAAAGACTAGTGTCAAATACCTTTTCCAAAAAAAGGTGTTGGCTTTGTCGTTTGTAGTATATTTTGTCACCATCTGAAAAAGAAAATTCTGTTAACTTTGCCCTTAACTTCCTAATGTCCAAACCATTTCCTTGTAATTTCTAATTTTGTAATTCAATTTCTCCTTTTTATTTTAATCTCGCAAACCTGCTCAGAGAATTAATTCTCTTGCCTTGTCTTTCTGCTGAGAAGCCAAGTAGAAACAACTCTGTGTTCAGGAAATCTTGGCAGCAAAGAGAAGATGATGCCAAATTTCTTTGCTATCGCACTACTAACAGTTACAGAATAAGTATGCTACTACACTTCAAATAATATCTTCATGCAACAAATTCATTTTTTTTTTCATTTAACAGTTTTTCTAAACAAAATAAAATATTTACCTGATAAAAAACTACTGTGATAAAGTCAGGCGTTGATGTAACTAGAAAGATGTCTTCTGTGGTTTGGAGAGGAGCACTGCTTCTTCCAGATTTATGTACAGTCAGAAACCAGACTGCTGGGTGCTTGTTCTGTAATCTGAGCAAGATCAGGTATGTGGCATTTCTTGAAACTGATCAACACCTGACAAGATTTGCCTACTCCACAGGAAAAACAGGGACTGAATAGAAAGGGAGACATTCTTCAGGAAGATTTCAGTGTTGGCATCCAAGCTGCATTGCTGCAAAAATCAAAGTCAGTAGGTTAATGAGAAGGAGAGTCAGAAAGAAAGAAATTCTAGTAACTTTATACACAGTGAATTTCACTGAAATCCTGGTCCTTTAAAGTTCAGTCCTGTCACACATGAAAATGCAAGACTGGTGTATTTTCCTGATGGAATTTCTTTACTGTGTAATGAAAGCTGAGACTGCATTTCTCTGTGGTGTTTCAGTGTTGTTTAATCCCGTGAGCTCTGTGGATGTTTCTCCAGGAGAGAGAACAGTGAAGTACTGATATAACCTTGTCTATCACCTGCTTTCTCAAGGCAACACAGCGTGCCATCAAAGGCAAAATTAGTGCTGTGTGGTCTTTTTTTTTTTTTTTTTTTTTTTTTGAAATATAGCATGTGACAGAATATTTCCTCATTTAGCACTCAGGGCTTTCTCTCCAGCCTAAGAAACCGAGAAGCACTTCTCATTGTCCTTGCTTCAGCAAGGCTTCGTTATTAGCAGCACTCATTGTATGGCTTTTGGTGGAAGGAAGAAAAGAAAGCAACACTTGCAATGAGGTTCTCCAGGTTCTTGTTTGTTCTTACTCTCATTCACAGTGCTTTGCAGCTGGAAGGTAAGTGCCTTCCTCTTGTCTTCTGCAACGCTGTGTGTGAAAGGCTTTTGGGGAATTAATTAGTATGAGTAACACAAATGACATGAAATAGTTGGATTACATTTGGGAAGTTATGGAAGACAATATAGTTTCCATCACTTTTGTTGCACTTCTTTCACAGATGTTAAGCAATGAACTTTTGCAGGACCAGATGTCTCCTGAGTAAAATTGTTTGTTATGGATTGCCTCACAGTTCCTGTTCTTAACTGTATGTGGTATTACTGTAGGGGCTGATGCATTGTATATTATAAATTAAACTGATTTAATTTTTGCAAGCTTTTTAAATTAATTCACTTTTTTCTTAATACCTTTTTTAGTATGTATGATACTCAGTGATCAAAAGACGTATCATGGGTCCCAACTGGTTATGAATCCTATAACTCTGGAGTGCTACTTTCTCATGTTATGTTTGGTTTCCCAATGCCATTCCTAGTTGCCATGGCTCCCAGTAGATGCTGCAGGTCAGCAAGGCTCAGGAACCTTTAGTGAGGCCTGGAGTGGTTCACCCGTATCTATAGTGAAAAGGAGAAAAAAAATCTGGATTCTGTGGGGAAAATAAGTGGCTCAGCAAAAATGGCTGTGACAACTGTAAGATCTGGTAGCATGAGAAAAGTTTGTGGAGGTCAAAGATCAGCAGACTGTGCATCTGACGACACGTGGCAATGGGGTGATAGTGACAGCAGTTTGTGTGAGGGAATTCTCATGGTTAATATAAATAAATCCAACAAGATATACTTAGCTCTTCTGATGCTGCTGGCTACCCTAATCTGCAATATAGTGATATACAGTAAAGGAATGCAAATTCAGTTCTCTATTTTATTGTTAAAAAACGATAAAATTGGTGTTGAATTGGGCTTCATTGAAAAATGTTTTATTTGATAGGAAAGCAATGACTTCTACTTTGTGTGGATAGGAAGCAGAATATGCCACTTACATTAATTATACTATGCTTTCCATTGTTTTGTTTTACAGACACTGAAATATTTTTAATATATAATAAAGTCAGCAAACTCTGTCTTCAGGCTTCTATTGCACAATCAGTTAGAACTGCCACTTGCCATCAAGACAATGAATCGCAAAAATTCACTTGGATTACTGATCATCAGCTCATGAGTGTGAGACTGAACCTGTGCTTGGGTGTTCCACTGAAGGAAGATGAGGTTGCGATCACCCTGTTCCCATGTAACCAAACAAGTGAGCTGCAGTGGTGGGAATGTAGAAATGAAAGCCTTCTTGCAATCCAGGGAGAAGACTTGTTTTTCAATCCTGGCAAGGAAGAACATGATAATGTTGTATTAAAAGAGCGGTTGAGTCCAAAGAGTTATTGGAAGATCTATGGGGTCATTGATGTTTTATGTTCTCAGAGATACGAAGGTACCAGAAAATTGGGTCTTTACTCCATTACACTAATTTCTTTCTGAGTGTTAGAGTGTTTTAGATCTTTAGCTCTGAATATTCTGATTCCTTCAGAAACAATCAGTATTTTAAAAAATAGCTGTACTGGGAGAGTTATACTTGAATTTAATTTAATATCTTTTGCAGTGTATTATATGTGTTTTATATAATACATATATCTTGTACTATATACACTGTGATATTATAGTAGTGTTATAGTATTATAATATTGTAGCATATTATAGTCCATAATTAGCTTCACAGAATAATAAAACAGCTTAGATTGGAAGGGATCTTAAAGCCTACTCAGTTCCAATCCTCTGCCATGGGCAGGGCTGCTCCCCACTACATCAGGTTGCCCTGGACCCCAACCATCCCTGCCTTGAACACCCCAGAGCTGGGCTATTACAGCTTCTCTGGGCAGTCTGTGCCAGTGCCTCATCACCCTCTCAGTAAAGAATTTCTTCCTAACAGCTGACCTGTACTTACCTATCTTACCTGTACCCTCTGTTAGTTTAAAGCCATTCTCACTGTCACTGTCAGACTGTGTAAAAAGCTGGTCTCTTGCTTATAAACTCTCTTTTAAGTACTGAAAGGCCACATTAAGGTCCTCCCAGAGCCTTCTCTACTCCATTCTGAACAAGCCCGTCTCCATCAACCTTTCTTCATAGGAAAGTTTCTCCCGCCCTCTCGTTATCTTTGTGCCTCTCCTCTGGGCCCATTCCAACAGCTCTGATTACTCTAAATTGCTTTTCCACATAGCAATACATGGGAAAGCTAATATGGAAATAAGTTAGAGATGCAATTCAGCAATTAATATAGCATTTTTGACAGTTTACATTATCTTCTATACTACTGTTATGCTTTTGTCTTCTCAGAGACCTTTACGCTGCTAGGAAATGCTTTTGGGGCACCTTGTGTGTTCCCTTTCATGTACAAGAAGCAGTGGTATGCAGAGTGCACGAGTGCTGGCCGCTCAGACGGCTGGCTCTGGTGTGCAACGACTGCAGACTATGACACAGACCAGCGATACGGATTTTGCCCAATAAAAGGTAAGTTATCTGTTTCCCTGCAGTTCTCTTTAGCTAATCAGAGCTAGCAGAGTGTCAATATTTTTATAATGATGCATAGTTTACATCAACAAATTGCACTGCATTGCTCCATCCTACAGCACAACACAAGGAAGTAACATAATGTTGCATAAAGATTTGGAGAAAAGTGACTGAAGAGTAAAATAGCATGCAGTTCCCATTAACTGTGGTGGTTCTGCTGAGCAGCAGGATAACTTTGAGTTCCTTCTTTCCCTGTCGAGATACATTCTGTGATCATTGTACAACTCTTTTTGATGACCCCCATTGTGATGGATATGGGCATAAATATAAGTGCTTTAGGAAGCATCATGATTAAGCTAACATGTTTTTAATATGCATATATATATATATCTACGTATATATATGTATATATATATTTTCTTCAGTGGAAAGTGCTCTTTCGTTGATCCTAAAGAGTCCTCTTCATATAGTCTGGATATTTCTTTAAAAATGAAATTTTTCTGAAAATTGGCTTCCATTTCTGTGGTCACTTCTCTTTCCATCTCCCTTTCTGGCTGTATGATTGACAGGTAAGGCTTTGCAATTCTCCTGATCTTCTTAACAATCCCCTGCCTTTTTCCCCAGTGCTCTGCAGTCAAATGTGCTGTTGAGGTCACTACACAGATATCTATAACAGTAAGCCTAAATGGCATGTGACACAGGGATCAGTTAATACTTTTCAAAGCCTTTGAAAGCCAGTTCTCAATTCTTTTTTTTTTATTTATTCAGCTTTATACTGGCTTTGGGGAATAATCAAACGTCTAATCCAATTTTGTATTGTATTTTAATAGGCATGAATGGATCCTCACCAGATCAAAGAGGCAAAGATAATCAGAAGAGGGAGCAGCATGTGGTTCAGTACCATGGCAGTGCCCCAGCTCTCAGACTGTGGCAAGAGCCACAAGAGGCTTTTAGCAGAGGAAGGTTTCTCTAAAAACTGTCTGATGCTAAATTCAGACCTATAGCTGTATCTCAGAGCTCTCAGTGGAAACTGCTGCCAAGAAAGAGAAGAAGCTGGATATCTTTAAATAAATTCCAGCTAAGATTTCTGCCACCGCGCTTTATGTAATATACATTTTAATGCAATCACTTCCTTAAGAGTAATTCCTGGATTATGTATCTTTATGCAAGAGTGAGGACTATCTTTCTGCCTGTTGGGCCTTTACCTTCATCTTTCCTTATCCCGCTCCTAAAATTTTCAGTGCTCTTGGAAGAACAGAACCAACAGACATGAGAATGTCATGCGTAAGGAGAACCTTTAGAACCTAATTTTTCTGTGAGTGAACTACTGTCCCCCCATTATAGTTATTTTCTCCACAGACAGAGATACCACTTGGACTACAGATGTGTTAAGAAATGCCTACTACCAAATAAACTCTGAATCTGCTCTCACATGGCACCAAGCAAGGAAGAGCTGTCAGCAACAAAATGCAGAATTACTGAGTATCACAGATATTCATGAACAAATGTACCTTAAAGGTAAGGAAATAAAGAAAACCCTAATCTACTTACATTCAGGATCTTTTCAGTCTATCACTATAGCTATGGTCTACCTTCTATGGTCTCATGAGCCTAAATATATTTAAAAAATAAATAAATAAAATCTTTTATAATTTGCAAGTTCATATTAAACTCACTGAAGTTTAAATGAAATTCAGAGTATTTCAGCATGCTGTAAGAGTAGCAGTTTGACTTTCTGTTTAGAAATGTTATGTTGTTTAAAAAATTGGTAAAAAAATTGGTTGTTTTTTCTGTTTTAAGAAAAAGCATCCTTCTGAAAAATAAATGAAAATTTCATTTTTAGTAAAAAGTGATATTTAAAAAAAAATTGACATTGAGAGAAGACATTCACTTATGCCAGAGGAAAGACATGTTTTGTGTCAAAAGCTGTTTGGCATGTGTTTTGTTTTGTTTTGTTTTTCCATTCATTTAGCATTTAGAAGAATATTAATTATTCACACATCTGAAATCATGGCTCTGCCTACTGTAGTATATCTCAGGACTGAGATGGAAGAAAGTATCTCTTGCTTTAATGGTGAAATTAACATATAAGATTTTTAGCTTTAAAGTTTACTCTTACACTATACTGATACTTCCACTTGAATATTGCCAGTCTTGTATAGGTTTAGACTGTTCCACAAAAAACACTGATTCTGAATTTACTCTATGAGATGTCATTTTGCAATAAGAGATACAAAAAGTAAGAGAGTGTTTTGTTGCTGCTGACTGCATTTTTTGTTGATCAAAACTTCAATATTTAAATTTATCACAATATCTAAAGATATTCATAGTTACATATTTAAGAATGTCATGTCTTCCTACAGTAATTATTAACGACTTTTGCTAAATAAAAAGTGATTTGTGAATCTTTTGGTTATTTAGAATTAACAGAAAGTACAGATTCTGCACTGTGGATTGGACTCAATAGACTGGACTTGAAGAGCGGCTGGGAGTGGATTGGAGGCACTCCTTTCCAGTATTTAAACTGGGCTCCAGGTAGCTGTGGCTTTGCTCAAATTCTGTACTTCTGAAGACAAAGAATACATACTTCAAATTCGTCTTTAAAATATATTCTCAGATTATTTGGGCATGAGAAAAAGTAGTATGTTAGTGTTAAGCCTCCAAAACGACATGTATTTAGCCTTCTTTGTTAGCTTTAGAAAAGTTTGTTTGTTTGATTGTTTATTGGTCCATCGTTTTCTTTTTCTATAGCAATGTAAGTCAGAAACTTCTATGTATTGCAAAAATATTTTATTTCTGAAAACCACACTACTTCTCCCACAAATATTTAGTTTTCCATTTCTGGTCTCTAGCAACAAAAATAATATTAAAAATCAGAGGATTGAGCAAGTTGCATGTTTGCTTACACTTTAAGTTATATTGCAAATATGCTTGATTACATGGAGGCATTCCCACAAATGGAGATCTTCCTCAGTTCAAAAAATGTTTAGATGTTGTACTAAGGGGCATGGTTTAGTTGGGAAATATTGTGGACTGGGTGATCTTGGGGGTCTTTTCCAACCTTTATGATTTTATGATGTAGTTCTTGCTGAATCTGAAAAAGATGCAATCTTTGAGGCTGCTGCCACCTCAGCCAGGAGTGATTTCTCCTGCTTGTTTTTGAGCTTAGAATTATATTTGTCTTCAGAAATATTCACCTTTTTTCTTTTTTCTTTCTTTTTTTTATCTTTCCCGAAGGAAGTCCCTCTCCAGAATCTGGAAAACTCTGTGTGGTACTGAATCCTGAAACAGAAGCTAAATGGCAAAATTGGGAATGTGATCAGAAACTTGGCTATATCTGTAAAAAAAGAAACTTTACCTTGATACCCTCAGGTATGTGATCTGTGCTGATAATTAAAAATACGAGCTGTTGTCTGAATTGCCTGTTTTTCCCTTTGGCAAAAATGAGCAGGAGAATTTTATTAGAAAGAACTATTTTTAACCATTACTGTCACTTTCATTTTTTTCTCATTCACGATTTTTCAGCCGTTGCACCCTTTCTAGGATGGTCTCTAAGTCCCACCACACAGGGTGGAACTGCCAGGTCTCTTTTTGAAACCGCAGAGTACTGGGTGTGGAAAAGGAGAACAAATCAAAAGTTATTTTTCAGAAAAGAGAAGTTAGTAAATACAGTTAAAGAAAGAAAAACTGACACATAGCAAAGATAACAGATATTTTAAGTAAATATTTCCCTGCATGTGTTTTCCTGTGCATATGTCTAGTTTGAAATTTGTCTAGTTGATTTTTTATCTACAGATACACTTAATCTTTCAAAAAATCGTAAGTATTCCGTTAAATACAAATGATTTCTGATTTTTCTTAACTGATAAACAGCCTCTAAGTTACAGAGGGTGTTACCATTTATACATTAATGTGATTTTTTTACAGATATTTGATCATCATAAAAACTGTAGATTTTGTGCTAAATAATAGACATATTAAAAAGCTTGCATTTTCCTAGTTAAAACAGCAAGTTTTGAATCGTATTCATACCTAATGTTTGCTAGCCATCGTTTCATTATAGCGAGAATCCCCAAAGAAAATTCTTAGGTTATAGCCTTTGCAGAGGATGGGTGAAGTTATTTTCAGCCTCCTGTCATTTGCATAGCATTTAAACTCTCTGGAAGTACTGATATTTATTTCTAGGTGATATTGGGCCCATTGCTTGCCCAGATGGATGGGTATCATATGTAGATCACTGTTACAAGATCTTCAGGGAAACCAAAGGATGGCAAGAAGCTTTGACTTCCTGTCAGAATGAAGAGAGTCACCTGGCCAGCATCCAACACCTTGAGGAGCACAGCTTTATAGTGTCTGGGCTTGGGTACAGTGAGTATTTCCAGTTGATTTTTTTTCTTTTTCTTTTTTTTTTTTTCCCTTGTCTGTATGCAAGGAGTTACCAGCCAGCTGACTTGAGAAGTAGAAATCGCGTATTAGAATTAAATACCTCAGCCAAAGACATGCAAGGAACCAAAGGTCGAGCAGTGATAGATTGGTGAAGTACATTCTGTGTCAAAACTGTCCAACCATCATCACAAGAACCACTTACAGGAATGTATTTTGCTTTCTTTCAATTTTTGATTCTATTATCATCCCCTAATCTAGTGACTACTGATGAAATTGTGAGTATCCTTCCAGATCTTTGCCTAAAACCGTAGGATTGTGCACTGATTTATGCCAGAGTATATCTCAGAAGTCGTCTAGTTCAGCCCCAGCTTGCACAGCTAGCCTCAGATCAGGTTAGACAACAATTTTAAGATGGTCCTATGTGGAGAAGGCAGTTACACTTGATCCTTGTAAGTTGCTTCCAACCTGGGGCAATCTATGATTCTATGATTTCATTATAATCTAATTTTGAATATGTACTGTAAATATTGTAATATGTGTGAAACGTTTCACATATAAGATAATCATGCAACAAACTAAATAATGTTCTGCTTTATAAACAAAGGGATTTTGTGTTCTGGAGCTTGAGGTAGCTGGAAAAAGGATAAAGCACTATAAGATGTCTTTTCTAGTTCTGTGTTTCTCTGTTCTAGAGCCAACAGACAAGCTCTGGATTGGCCTGAACGATCACAAGTTTCAAATGTTTTTTGAATGGAGTGATGGTACGCCAGTGACATACATCAGATGGCATCTGGGAGAGCCATCCAGCACCAACACCAGGCCAGAAGACTGTGTTATGATCAAGGGCCAGGTAACATTATTCAGCATGCATCTGGTTTTAATATAAAAACTAAATTGTTAACAGAAGAATAATCTGGCCTCCTATTTCAACAATGGCGTAGGGCCAGAAAAGGGGTTGTGAGGACAAAAGCTGAGACTCAAATATTACCTTTCATTAAAACAAACAAACAAACAAAAAAAGCCATTGTGCTACTTAAGACATTTTCTCCTCAAGTTCATCAGAAAGCAATCGCTGAAATAAAGCAGGTCTTTCAATGTCATTTGGACACGTTCCCCATTCCCTCACTGTTTTTTTTCTGATGGCAGCAATATCATATGAGGATCTCTGCTGCTGCACTTGTGCCTGCTCCTTTGCCTATTGTTGAGTGGCACAACTGCCTGTTCTGGGCCCTGCAGAACAGCTGGGGACCAGCTATAGTTGAAAAGTGGCCAGAAAATCTGTCACCTTCATCGCCATTCATCACTACTGTAGCAGTACTACCATAGACCACTCTACCATTTCACTGAGTGTGAGCCGATTTAGTTTTGTTATCAACTCAGAGAATTGCCTATAAAAGTGTACATTTTTTTTTTCAAAATGGAAGGAGAAATGAAGATCTATTCAATTTCTTTCGATTATTCATGTTAATCTCATTGTTACTTATTTCTTTTTCCTGCCTCATAGGATGGCTATTTTGCAGACTCCGACTGTGAGAAGAAAGCTGGCTATATTTGTAAAAGAAAACCTATACCACAACTAGCTGGAGAAAAGAAAAATACCGATGTAGGTTGCAAAAAAGTAAGTGTATAAGACTGGAAAATTAATTTCTCAGATCAAAAAAAAGGTCCTTGTCTGAGAATAATCTAAAATTACTTGAATTAGTATTCATTTACAGAATTCTATTATTTGTTATGGAGTTTCTCTCTCTTACGTTACATTAAACTACTTACAGAAACCATTTAGAAGAAATCTGAAATTTCAGAGCAAAAGTTTGCTAAGTCATAGTATTTACAACTATTGTCCTTCATTCATTTTGAAATTATACAGCTCATTTAATACATGAAACCACAATTATTTAAAACTCATATGGAGGTTCTATAATTCTGCTACAGGGATGGAGAAGATACGGGACCTACTGCTATTTTACTGGACATGTAGCAGCAACATTTTCCGAAGCAAATGACACTTGTGAAGGAGAAAAAGGTTTCTTAGCCACAGTTGAAAGTAGGTATGATAATGAATTTTCTTTGTCTTTTGAAAAGGTAAAAGTTGTATGTTTCAAATTACTTAGGGAACTATTTCTCAGTTGTTACACAAGATCTATTAGTAAATTATCCAAGCTACAGATGAGGTTTGTAGCACAAAAAAAGTCGCTTTTTTGTTGATTTATATGGCACATGAAGCAAGAAAAAGGAGAAAAGAATTCATCATCAGATGTCTAATCTAATTAGATAAATTAGATACATTGAAATTAGATAAATTTGGATAAATGCTTATTTTTTTCACTTGTGTTACTGTGATCTTCCTTGCAGATATGAACAAGCCTATTTGACTAGTCTTGTAGGGCTGAGGCCTGAGAAGTATTTCTGGCTGGGTCTTTCTGACATGGAGGACCAAGGAACTTTCAGGTGGAGCAGTGGTGAAGATGTCTCCTTTACACACTGGGGTGCAGCAATGCCTGGTAGGTGCTGTGGCTGTGGATGGTAGAGCCCACAGTCCCTATTCAGATTTTTACTGACATCAGTAAAAATCAGTAAAAATTTCTTGTAATGTAATGTTATCATTTAGCCTTCCAATATATTTTACAGGAACAGGCAGTTCCTAAAATCTATTTTTTAATTTCAAAGGGACAATTTGAATTACAGTTTTATACCAGGGTGTCTGATATACTTAGTCATAATTTTGACTTTATGTCTCTTCTTCACAAAGATATATGTGTCTATTATGATAGATGATTAGAATCTTGAAAATTGCCTTCTTTTTGATAAACAGGTTACAGGCAGTTTCTGAGACTATTCTGCACTCATCTCTGGAGAAAAGAGTGTGAAACAGAGCAACTGTAATAAAGACTTAAAGTTAGAAGTGCAAAATGACAGAATCAAAACTGATTCTGCCATATTTTTTCACTTATGATGTTAAGAAGCCTACATTCACATGATAATACTGAAACTGCACAAAAGAACAGAAAGCACTGTTTTGAAACGCTATGAGGGAATCTGCTCTCCTCAAGATAGAATGCATCCTTCCTAGTGATAATTTGTCTAAAATTTTTCTCAAATCTTTCAATGAGGTTATGAAATCTTAAATAGAATGTAAACAGCACAGAGCTATGAAACTTCTAGAAATGCAATAGGAGAAAACATCTTGCCAGGTACTCTACAGTGCCAGCAGATGAACAGATGAAACTTCATCATATCTCTTCTACTTTAGGCTTAAGTAAGAATGAGATCCTCATTATAAGCACAGGTTTTCCCTGTGAAAAATAAAAACTGTCTATCCATATAATTCATTATGAAGAACATCCGAAATAGAAAGAAAAACAAGGAAAATCTTCAAACTGATTATGACCTGCTCAGACAGAAATCTCCTCTTCAGTTCTGTGGAAAACATGTATAATATTTCTCTTCTGTTCAAGTTCTTCTATTCAAGTGCTATTGTATGACAAAAAGGGAATGGGCACTTCTCAGAGTTTTTAAGCAAGATTCAAGTAATTTAGAGTGTATGATGAAATAGTCAACATGTTTTTTATTTCTCATAAAGGAAGTAAATCAGGGTGTGTTGCCATGAGATCTGGAATTGCAGCTGGATTATGGGATGTTCTTGACTGTGAATCTAAGCAAAAATATATCTGCAAACACTGGGCAGCTGGTGCAACAGCCCCACCTATTTCAACTACTGCTCCGAAACCCACATGTCCTGAAGGCTGGATATCAAATGACGATGCAAGCTCCTGTTATAAAGTAAGTGCTTAAATAGTTAAAAGAAATGCTTTGAAATGCTTTGTTTTTCACCTCTGTGTTAAATAATCAGACCACTCTATTGGAAAAATGTTATAAGCAGTATAATCCATTTCTCCTATATATTATTTTGCTTCTTTGAAAACTTCATTTATATTTAATAAAGAGCATATTTCTTCATTTTATATTTTATGTGTATTGTGTATACATGTATTATATTGTGTTATAGATATACATATATATCCTTATTTTATGTTACACACAGTGGTATGTTTTAAAGCAATTTCTTCACAGTACTTTTGCAGGTCAGATATTAAAGAGAAATCATGGATTGAAGCTCGAGATTTTTGTAGACAAATTGGAGGGGATCTGGCCACCATCAACGATGAGGAGGAGAAAAAAATGATATTAAGAGGAAACAGGTGAGTATCTGTGCATTTTTATCTTACTAGACTTTAAAGGTGCTTAAAATGAACTATTATAAGAACTCAGATAATTTCTGAAACAGAGATTCCTAAAAATCCAAAAACACTGAAAACTTTGAAATTTTATCTACTTATAAGTGTGAACTGTTTAATTAAAAAAAAAAAGACTATTTTTTTCATGGCTAATGGATATCATTTAGAAATACATGAAATTATAGGACGTGGTGTTCTCAGCGGGGTTGAAAATATTACCAATATATTTACTTTTGACACACTTCAGCATAGCCAAAGCTGAGACTATCTTCAAGAGCAACAGCCTCTTTAAATCAGCAAAGGCCTTTCCTAAGAAAACAGAGTAGAGAGGAAATAAAAGATCACTACTATCAATAATTTTGATAAATCAACCACTGATGCCAATCAAATGTAGAGTGACTGTTCGTATAGCAGTTAGCAGTGCTACTGTGTCAGCTATTCTTCCAGCTCCATTGCTATGGTATTGATGATTAGTTAGGGACTTGATATTCTTTAAGTTCTTTACCAACCTAAATGATTTTATAATTCTGTTATCTTGCTTTGTTCAAGAAGCATCCCTTGTCGAAAGTATGTAACGATTACTAATGTTTTTAAAAGCTTCAGTTACATTTCTAAGTTAATACAACAGTGTTTGTATAAGTTGTGAATGCAGGGCTAGTGCACTGTCAATTACATCTGTTGCATCAGCACATTCAAACTGTGAATCCCAGTGAGTATAATAAGCATTTGTAAACTGCAGGGAGATTGTGTCATAGATGCTGGTAAGGCAGGTAACAGGGAGAAAAATATTAGATATTTCTATGGAGAACATATACATAAGTATAGCCTTCACCAAAGCTGATAGGATAATTAATACTACTTCACTGCACTTTGGAAAATGCTTCAGAAATTTTAATGTGTTCCTGGATGTTGTTTGCATTAGTGTTTACAAACTGTTCTGTTTTATAATTTGTGTTTGAGTCAGATACTGTAGTTTTGAAACAGTTTGGCTTGGTATATTTTCCTTGAATCCAGATGAAGGATTTGCCTGGAGTGATGGCTCTCCTGTAAGTACTTCAATTTTTCATCAGATTTATTTGGTTAAGATGTGCTGGGGTTTGTACATGTGCTTTTTGACTTTTTACTGTTCTCCTCTTCAAAGAGAATGCTAATCCTGCAAATGTTTATATGGCTGTTAACCTTTATTACCATCAGTAAAATCACTGCAACACATTTGAACACATGGAAGTAATCTGCATCTCACTATGGCCTGCAGCTTTCTGCGCAGTCTTCCAGTATATTTTCTTTTCCAAAAATGTAGTATGAACACATAGCATCACAACATGAAACTTGGTCATACCGGATCTTGTATCCATTCTTTGGCCAGAAATATATAAAGAGCTAAGCATGCAACAGATGTATTTCTCAGTATCCTCCTGCATTTTTCAGTAAGCAGAGGATCAGGGTCTTTCAGAAACAGAGCTGAGATCTGTATTCCTACATGATGTTCCTACAGAATTCCACTTTTTATTATCTCCAAATGCTCTTATACTCTATTTCCTATTTTTTGATCCATGCAAGGACCTTTCCTCTTGTAATGCCTTAGTTTAAAGTTTTTGGAAAGAGAACTTTGTTCAAAATCCCAAGTAACTTTTATCAAACAGTTCTTCCTTCCTGTTTGGATGACACTTCCTTCAGAGCAAACTTCACCAGATTTGTAAGACATGGCTTCCCTCCCAGAAGCCATGTTCCTGTCCTCATTAACTGAGAGAGAGGAAACAGTGAGAATTGAATTGAAGAATGTTATGGTCACTGCTACCAGATGGCTGTTGCACAGTATCATTTTGAACCAGGTCACAATCAACGCAGTGAAAACTACAATGCCTATGTAGGAACAGTGAGAGTGGGTTGGGGTGAATTCTTCAGCTAGATGAAGTTTATTAGCAGCAGTGCATTTGCCCATTTTTATTCTGACTGTGTCTAGTGCTTGAGATATGAGCAAGAAGAAAAGTCCTCCACGGCAAGACAACCTGATCTCCAAATTACTGACATTGCCCCATTGTAAAAATATTTACACCTATTTCTTTTTCTATATTTGTACTCTTAATAAGACACAGAATCTTTGTTTCTTTTTGCCAGTGGATAGTATAACTGCTGAAACAGAGCAAAAGATTATTTCTTTCATAGGTTAGGTACACAGACTGGAGTGATCATCCAAGAAGTTCAGGAGGACACAAGTTCTGTGGTGTAATCAACGGTAAAACATTTTCTGGGCAATGGCTTCTTTCAGTATGTGAAGAGGAGCATGGCTGGGTTTGTCAAATTAAAAAAGGTAGATTTATTATTCTCTTTAATCAGGAAGCTTAAATAACTTTTTAAAGTATTTGCTTTCTGATCTAATTTGCTGGAGAAAGATACAAAATTTTGAAAACGATACTGTTTCCAAATGCATGTCAAGAAAATTAGATAACATAATGCAGGCCAGGATTTTTCAATGACAGATGATAAGAATAAATGAATTAATTTCTTCATGTAAATAATGGTATATAAATAATGGTGCTTCATAGATTGCAAATATTTTGTAAAATAATTTTTTGTTCGTGTGCTTTTGATGTTGGAAGTAAGGAGTTCCACCTTCGTTACAGCACTGATCATGGATAAAGCCAGAAACAAATCTAAAAAATGTTTGGTACAAAGGTATTTTTTTTTGAGATCTGGCTGGATTTACTGCTAGTTATAGGCCTCTAGAAGAGGTAACAGGAGATGGCTTTCCTAAGGGAAAGCTCCATTAGAAAAGTTTGTGCTAGAGTCACTTAGTAAAAGAAAAGTGTTCGGGATCACAGTTGGTGTGTTTGGCACTTGTTGCTGAAGCTAATCATAGCTATAGCAATACAGTTAAGGAAAATTGACAAAACAGGTCCAGAAACAGTACTCCATGTTCTCCTCTACAATTATGAAGAAAACAAACATCAGCTTTTGGAAAAGAAATTGTTCAAAGCAGTGGCATTTATTTTTCCATCTGAGGCAGAACAAATTTGCTCTTAGTATATACAGTTGTATTTCCTTTTGCCTATGAATATTTATGATTAAGAGAGTATTAGATAAAGTAAATCTGGAGTTAATTTTCATCCTATTTATGAGAAGACCCCTCTGGAAAATTTTACCATCAAGAAAATGGTACATTTAGTGGGGCATCAGTAAAGAGAATATAAAACTAAAGCTTAAAATGTTTCAGATAAATCTACTGTGCTTCATAGCTCAGGAGACTGTTTTAATTAATGCTGATCTCAACAGGTAAGCAATCCATCTATGACTTTGCTGAAATGAAGTGCAGCTTATGATATATAATTATAAGACCATGTATTTCTCATAATGCATAGTTGAAATTTGTGGCTAAGCCTGCTTCTTTCCTAGTCAATGGCAAAGGAGTGCAGAAGTCTGCTTTATTCTTGCTTGGTTCCTTGCAGTCACTCACAGAAACCATGCCACATTATAGCTTCTGTTCTGTTGTTTTGCAGGAGTGATGCCAAAACCTGAACCAATTGATACATATGGTAGGTTTTTGCATGCATTTATTCATTTTTTTCATCACTTTTGAAAATCAAAATTGTTACTCACAAATGAATTTTTATGTCCTACAAATGAAGAACTTAAGTCTACCTTACTTGTCTTCCAGAGTATAAAATCACTGCGGATGGATGGGTCATGTACAAAGATAAGCTGTACTACATCAGCAAAGAACAAGTTTCCATGGAAGAAGCCCGAGAGTTTTGCAGGATGAATTCTGCAGATCTTGCTGTAATTAGTAGCAATAGTGAAAGAAGGTTCATACAGAGAGCTCTGATAAAAAATGTAAGAACCAATACAGTGTAGAAATAATTTTGACAACCTTGAATTATCTTAGAAATAGAGCTAACGGTATTTTCACCAATTAAATGTAACTGAGACCAATGAAATCCCCAACAATATGCTATTTTTTGTTCTGTGTGATTTGTTTTCTCCCACTTGGCATGTGCTTTTCTACTTTTTTTACATCAAAGAATTTTTTTTGAAATTTGGTTCAAGTTGGAAATCATCTTAAAGATCATTTTGTCCCAACCCTCTGCCATGGGCAAGGCTGCCACCCATAGATCAGGCCCAGGGCCCCATCCACCCTGCCCTCAAACATTCCAGGAATGGAGTATTCATAGCTTCTCTGGGCAGCTGTGCCAGTGCCTTATTGCTCTCTGAGTAATTAATTTCTTCCTAATATCTAATCTAAATATCTCCCTTCTATTCTTTTAAAGCTATCCCCTCATGTTCTAACACTACTAGACCATGTAAAATATCAATCTCTCTCCTGCTTATAAGCTTGGTTAAAGTACTGTGGAAGGCTGCAATGAGGTCTCCCTGAAGACTTCTCCAAGCTAAACAAGCCCAGCTCACTTAAACCTTTTTCATAGGAATGGTGTTCCAGCCCTCAGAGCATCTTTGTGGCCTCCTCTGTATCTGTTGCAATACCCTTCTTGTACTCCAGATGAGGCCTCACAAGAGCGGAGTAGAGGGGGTGATCACCTCCCTTGCTCTGCTGCCCATCTCTCTGTTGATGCAGCTGAGGATACTATTGGCATTTTGGGCTGCGCATGCACACTGCTAGCTCATGTCCAGCTTTTTGTTCACTAGACACCCAAGTCCTTAAAATAGTTTCTTTCTGTTTTAGGATAAATACAGGACAGAGTCAGAACAATACTTCATTGGTTTAAAAATTAGTCTGGATAAAACATTTAGGTAAGTTAAGATAATCATATCGTCTGTTAATAAAAAAAAGAATGTAGTCAGAGGTACTAAATGTGGTTATCAAGGACAAGGACTGAAGGTGGTTGTATGTTTAACAAGTACAAAGCAGAAGCAAATAATCCTAGAACAGACTGATTTCCAGTAGTTTTCCTCAAAAAGAAAAATGGAAAGAGCATTTTTTCTTGAGTCAATATATGCCGAAAGGAAAACTTGGCAGCTGTGCTCTTATGCTTTCTGTTTCAAAGATTGGCCCCATGAACTGGAGGTATTTTTTGCATCTACAGAAACATCAAGAATACTCAGATTAAAGAATGTAATACTAAGTAGATGATTCAGTGTGAAGAAATTAAGACAAATTAAACTTCTAATATCCTCTGCATTGCTTATTATGGCTAACTGAATATTAGTTTCTGATATTAGATGATGGTTGACCACTCCTGCCTGCCAATGGAAAATATTCTCGATATTTTCTTTTTCTGTACTGCAACCAGCAATAGTTTACCCAAATTTCTTCAAATTTGAATAATTAAATTTGATTTGAAAATCAAAGAGAAAAAAATCTGTAACAGTTTTTGCCAGTTCCTATAAATGCTTATGGACTTTGTCTTCTTTGTGAAATGTTCATTAGGATTCTTATTTAATAACTGAAAAAGTATTAATTAATAATTATTTGTGTATCTTTTCTTTAAGCTGGATAGATGGGACTCCAGTAACATATGTGGCCTGGGCTCCTAATGAGCCTAACTTTGCAAATAATGAGGAACACTGTGTGGTAATGTTTTCAAAGCAAGGTAGATAATAAGATTAAACTGTTAGACTTAACTTCTCTCCTTTTGGATTATATTTGATTCTGACAAACTTCTGCTGTTAGTGGCCATACAATCTTACTGCTATTTGCTGCAGTTCTTTAAGAGGGACAAGCCAACAAGATACAATGACTGACATAAGCTCCAGCTATAGAAGAGTATTCAGTATGGGGAGACTTTAGTCCCATGTGTAATTTAATGCAGATACCTCTCTGGGTTCAAGAGATTGGCATTGCATATTACAGTGCTCTGCACTACTTCTCCGAGTAAAAAACTGATGGATGAGTGGAGCCTATCTTCACTCCTGTGTACTTAAGAAAGTATTTATGACTTAGCTGCAAAATAATGGGAGTTTAAGGTACAAGCCAGTAAGAAGATAGATGACAAACATTTTATAATGTTTGAACACTATGTTATGCTCTCAGATTGATCTGGAATGTTCTATCTCATGCATTTTGCATGTTTTCTTTATGTTGCATTATCTCTGCTCCCTGCAATGTAATGATGCCATGGCCTGAACAAATCATAAACAGGTATGGGCACTGTGGAGAGCCCTGGAAGAGGAGGAACAGCAGGATCAAGCAGTTCAAATTAAACACAAGGAGCTACAGCTGTGCTACTATGAGAGCTTTAACTGGCTCATTCAAAGCTGCCATCGTTTGCTCTCAGATAAAACTGCAGACTGAAATATAAAGAGAGTACATTGTGTTCTGATTTAAAAAAAATAAATCATAAGATGTTTATATTTTTTCTCATCCTCTGACTCCTGTAATTCTACTACTTTGACAACTTAACGTGAAATCAGAATGAAGTTAATCAGCAGCCAGGGCATTTGCTCTTTTTTTTCCTGTCTTTTGTTCTTTTTGCAATTGCAGAGCAAGGAGCTCACAAACTAATGGTGCTGAGTAGCTAAAGCACATAAACATCTTTCTTTTGTAAGCAATATTTAAGTTCATAAATGCAGTATGAGTCTCTTTTACTCATTCTGAAGGTCTGAAAAGTAGAGATTACACTGTTATGCAAAATAGGATGAGATTTTTACAAATGCTATAACAACTTGTTTATTCAATCTATTTTTAGGCTTGTGGAATGATGTAAACTGTGGTGTCACAAGTAGATTTGTATGTGAAAGACATAATAGTTCTATTAATTCAACACTTGCTTCTCCACTTCCTCCTGGAGGATGTCCAGAAAGTTGGCTTCTCTTTAACAACAAGGTATGTCAATAAGTATCTTAAGTGAATTCCATATGGCAACAGGACTAAAAAAAAGAACTGTAATCATAAAAGTATGCTCTTGTTATTATGAAATAAAGAAGTAATTATCCAGTCAATGTATGCTGACTATATACCAAGACTTCTCTGAAGGTAACTATAGACATCTAACTTCATAGACAAACACAGTATATTGTTACTGCATAATACTTCTGTTTCTCTCCTGTGTTATGTATTTATGTTGCAAAGTGAAATTTTTAATGATTGGACTTGGAAAAAAAGCCCTTCAAGTGGAATGATTTAGAAAGAATTCATTTGAGCAAATCTGCTTGCTTGTATAAGAGTTCCCAACACTTTCAGTTCAGACATATGATCCCAAACTGAAATTGTTTTGAGCATGATTTTACATACAGTCTTGGTCTGGAAGTCCTCACTGCTGTGACAAAAGTATTTGTACCAATTGGAGTTGAAAGCTGTTTTGCTTGATGTACATACTCTGCACTGCAATTGCATCCCAAGAATGTTAGGTGAAGATGGCAAATAGCATTTCACACAGTTTTGCACAATGAGCAGTCATTGTCACAGTCACTGGAAGCCCGACAAGGAGCAGTGGCAATCACTTTCTGCAACTATATTACCCAAAGCCACTGAACTTAAATGATCTTTCTCTCACAGCAGAGGGCAGGCGGAAGGAAATGTATAGCAGGATTATATACCTCACATTGTTATGAGTAACTCAGTTCCTGTATTACACCTTGTGCAAAGAAGGGACATGCAAGCTTAAAGACCTTGCACATCACTGACTTACTACTCTTGAAATGTGTCAATTATTCTAGCACCATTATTTTTCTAGAGAACTGTGCATCCTATAGCTAATTGATAGTATTTACAATCAACAGTTTCCATCCCCATTACTTTGAATGAATGGTTGCTTTTTTCCCACTTCCCCCAGTGTTTCAAAATATTTGCCTCCAATACAACAAGAAAGCTGGCGTGGCATGATGCACGAGAAGTTTGTATTCATCTGGGAGGAAACCTGGCTTCTATACCAAATCAGCAAGTGCAAGGTACATATACAGGCTCTCCTGAAACATGTAACCTCTCAAAAATATCAATATCCTACTAAGGAAAGTGCTAAACTCTTGAATACATATCACAAAATTATCTGCTGAGAATGGCTTATCTACCAGGTCAGCTTATGTTTGGTTTTAATTCTGAAGTGTGAAACATTTGCTAAATCATATTACATGTAAGAAATAACATGTGTGTTTCTAATTCTTTCCATTACCTGGTTTTTGAGAAACTTCCAGTCTGTTTTGAGTGAGGTTGTCCAAATTCCTGAGACTTACAAAAAACTATTTTTTTTCTCTCACTGTCAATACTATTTTTCTGATTTGCTACATATGCATACAGTGTAAGGAAAGGGACATTTTCTAACTTGCTCCAGAATTTTTTCTTTGGCTGCTTTTCCCAGCCTTACTGCTTGTTTAACATATGTTTCAGAGATGATTTTCTAAGCACTTAGTTAAAAGATGATGTGCTCTGTATAGGGAAATGTTATCCTTCTAATTTGGCTGCTGTTCTGGGCTTGTCCACATTTCTTCCTGGTTTGGATGAGTCATTATGAACTTTCCTTAATAAGAAGTTTTTGCTTCCCTCTAGCTTTTGTCTACTATCATTTAAAGGATGCTACAACCAAAGTTTGGATTGGGATGAACGATATCAACAGAGAGTCTACGTTTCTTTGGGCAGATGGGAGCACCGTTTCCTATACCAATTGGATTGAAGGTGCACCAGAAACCAAGCAAAGCTTCTTCGACTTTTATGAGTTCGAATTGCTGGATGATAACACTGTGGAGGTGTGGAAAATATAATCAGCCTCTATATCTTAGGCAACCAGATGATTTTCTTAAAAGGAAAGTTACAGAAAATAACAAAATGTTGAAACAGGTCCTTCAGCCAGCAGAATGGACTTTAGTAAAGCACCTGAATAGATATTCCAAATTTACCAAAAATATTTGGCAGAGATTCAGAAGGACAAAAGGTCTGAGCTATTGCAAAATAACAATTAAAAAAAAAAAAGTAGAAACAAACAAAAAAATTACATCAGTTCCCTTCAAAACTGCACCACCACTAGCATTAAAGTTGCAACACAAAATACAGAAAAGTTATTTAAAAAAAAACAAAATTAAGGTCCAAAACTAACTTGTCCATGTGTATTTCCCATTTCCTGGTTAATGTGATTTCAACTTGTTTTACTAGTTTCTGATGGTATAGAAGGATATCTTCAACTAAAGGGCATTTGTTCTGTTGAAGTTAAATCTCTTTTCTGAAGGAGTTTCTGCAGAAATATTAGGCAGCTGGTGGTCACTGGAGACTCTTAACATGTGCCATCAGTCAGCTTGTTTATGATTAAAACTCATTCAAGTCAGCATAGCAAATAAATTCAGATAAAATACAAAAAGTTGGGCAAGAACAATCCTGAAGGGGAACCATCTAGAGGAAATGTTGAAGTAATTAAAAATAAGGAAGTAAAGGGAAATTTTTGTTGCTCCTGAAGACATCTGATAGTGATATCTTTAGGCTACAAAAACTGATAGAGAGTGCATGCTTTCTGCAAGATAATCAACATATGATAAATCCAGAGCAGTGCTTTTAATAATAGTTCATATATGTTTCTTCATACGTGTAAATTCTCAGAAGTAAATCTAAATAATAATAATAATAATCAAAATTGAGAAGAATGGAATGATGGTCTTATTTTTATAGACTTTTCTTCTAGATTTTGGCATCACTGAGAGTCTGGTTCAAATGGGTCACTAATAAATATCAGGACAGATCATTTGTCAGGAATCTTTTCAAACTGATCCAGTGACATAGGTGCTCAGTAAGCTCTTCTCCTCTCCATCACAAGGCTTGCACTAGGAGCATGGGATTTTCATCTCACTGTATACTGTTTGCCTTTTCTGATGACTGTTTACATTGCCCTCTTTTTCAGACAGACTGTGTTTTCATGACAAAATTAGATGGCAAATGGAGAGACGATAGCTGTGACAATGAGAGAGGCTACATCTGCCAAATGAATTCATGTGAGTTCTGCTTTACCCAGTCTCCTAAATAGGTTAAGTATCTTGGTTATATAAGAACAATATAAAATTCACTGCAAACTGTTATCACTTTTTCTAGCTCTGAATGTCATTTTGAATCTCTCAGATTTTAAGAGCTCCTTGTCTTAAGACAAAACTTTTTTCTAATTTGTTCCGCAGAAATTATTGGAGAGGAAGCACTGTCTTAATTAGGATTTTGTACCTAAATCATGAATAATGCTAGAGAATAATACATGAAAATATTTCTTCTTAGTGAAATAGAAGATGCTTAGACATACTCTTAAAGCGCAGAGTAAAATGAGGGACTTGCAGTGAGACTTGCAGTGATATCCCTGTTACTCCTGGCTGTATCTAAGAAGATATAGTCCTCTTCTACTGAAACTATTCTGCCCAATGTTGTAGGAACTCTAATAAAATGTACTGTCTCTTGGTGGTGTCTTCATCTTCAAAGAATATTTTTATGTCAAAACAAGAAATGTATGTTTGTTTTCCTGCTATAGAATTGTAGTTACACAAATCATTGTAGCCCAGATATGCAATGGGAATGGAGCAAAAGCACAGATAACGAAACAGTTTTGCCTCACCTTTATCACACCACTGCCAAAAAAAAAAAAACCTAAAAAAAACCTGTCCTCTCTTCAGTCAACTGCTACAGCCTGCTTGCTCTCAGCACAGCTAACTTGTTTGTATGAACCCCATCTCCCTACACAGCAAACAGAGTTTCAAGAAGGCATTTTTGTCTCATTTTATTTCACAGGGCAGAAATAAACACTGTTTCACTCAGCCGTGCAGACAACATTCACACAGCCCTAATAGACAGGCTAATGACTTAGTCAACAGTGATCTGTTAACATAAAGTATCTCAAGTTGTGCTAACAGAGAACAACAGTAAATGTCTTAAAAGCCATCCCCAAACCCTCTCCTACCAGTGACCTGAAATAAGTGTGTATTCAGATATCCAGATGTAGTCAAAATATTTTGAATTACGGGAACACAAATACTCAATTTATAAGGGAAATTTCTACACTAGTCTGGCAGCCAGCAAGTATACTGTCTAGTTCACGGCACCCAGGATTTTAGTCTGTTTTTTACATTAGCAAATTTAGCTTTTGTTTTACAAAGTTTTTTTTTTGTTGTTTATTTGGTTTTATTTTACGTATTGTTCAGGAACTTAAATGAATAATTTAATTTATGGTTATTTTGAACCTTTTTTTTTTTTTTTTTTTTTAATTTCTTCTATGCTGGCTACCAGTGGTCTGTTTTAAATTCATGCATCCTATTTTTGTTCAGTAGTTACTGCACTATTTAACTTACCGTCAACAAATCCATCTTCTGACTTTGTCCACTATGGTGATAGCAGCTATCTAATTGTCTCATCTAAAATGCACTGGGAAGAGGCCAGAAGAAACTGCCAGGAGCAACATGCAGAACTTGCAAGCATTTTAGATGCCTACATCCATTCATTCCTTTGGATCCAGATACAGAAATATGGAAAACCTGTATGGATTGGCCTTAACAGCAATATTGTAAGTGTTGGACAGATGTGGGGTTAGGTGATCAGTGAACTCTTCTGCTTCTTTTGTTTCTGTTGGATGCTCAGCTTACAGCAATTCTGAAATAACCATCCTGTTGGTGGTTACACCGTGTGTGTACATGAATTTCTAATGGCCCTATGAAAACTTATTATAGGCTTTCATGCACCAAGTCCAGTGGAAAGAAATCACAAAAGAGGTTGAGCAGGTTGGAACTAATACAAAGAGAAAGCTCCAGAAATGATAAAAGAAATGGTAACAGAAATAATGTTACAGTCTGAGTGTCACAAACCAAGTTTAGCTACTATGCAGAAGCCATTAGCTGTTCTGAAAGCCATTGTAGCTCTCTGCCTTATATAGGGCTACTTGTAACTTTTGTTTATATCACAGTGGTTGCTATGAGTATTAGAGAGAGATTTTGTAGAAGATCTTGGCTGTTAAATATCAAGTAATCTTTACTCACCAAATTGCTCAGTCTAAATTTAAAGCAGAATACCAGGGGCGAGTTCATTGTAATTGCTTCTCTTATATAGGTAAATAATTTAAGATTGATTTATAGGAGTTTCTTACCATGTTTTATAAAATTGTTTTAATTTCAAAAAATCCTATTGACAGTAACGCATCATTGAATAAGATTCATTCTTAGTTCTTATGTAACTACAGCTTCCAGTGACATTGGTACTGTGAATAGTGTTTAAAACAACAGAGCAGCACCTGTTTGCTTTTTTATTGAAAATCTCAAATAAAAATGGAATGTTGTGTGCTTGAGCTTTGTCTGCTATAAACACCACACAACTTTATTATCAAAGCTTAACTGTTTTCAGACTAGGAGCTATTACAAATGGACTGATAACTGGAAAACCAGATTCACTAAGTGGGCAGCAGAGGAGCCAAAGAAGAAAAATGCTTGTGTCTATCTAGACCTTGATGGTACTTGGAAAACAGCGCCTTGCAAAGAAACATACTTCTCAGTTTGTAAGAAATCAAATGGTGAGTAAGTGAATGTAATCATTCAAAAGACACATTCTTAATTCCACTACTTTGCCGAAACCTAGAGGCTTTGTTATGGCTTAGGTTAAAATCCTCATAACGGTAAATTTCAAAATACTGTCTACCTCCATGCAGAATCTGCAAGTTTTCTACTAGATGATATATGAGCTAAAGCCTATGGCACATGAAAGCCTTTTGTATAAATGGATATGGCTATGGATAGAAATATGGATAAAGTAAGTGCTGGAGCTTGCACCACCTGCGTGGACAGCAACACCTGGATAAGTTCATGCTCTGTTGTCACATTGACAGCCAAAAATGCTAGCAAGAATTTTACTTCCATTTGCTATTGTTACAGCTAAAGCAGTTCTGATCTAGGCATAAGAGCCTTGGGAATGGGAATGATAGTTTAACTACTGGTAGAGGTATTCCAGAGTTATGTTTATTTGTAGGTTTTGCAGAAGCATGTTGTTTCCTTCCTTGATTAAGGAGGCTTGACTTTGAAGTTACACAATATAGTCTCTTCCATATGTAAGACTCAAGACAGGCTTAAACACACCTGAAAGGGACTACTGAGTTAAACTTTCTAGACATACCTTTGGTCTTCATATGCAGTGCAAGAACCAACAGAAGTGAGTTATACACATGATAAATAAACTGATTTTTCAGTGACATGCTAAACTGATGGCTCATTTGTATAAAGTGACTGCAGAAACCATAAAATATGGGACTGTGATATTGACAGTTTGTTAACTTACAACAACTTGCTGTAATGTGAGAATGCAAATTTAAGATATGAATCCTCATCGCTCAGGGTTTCTTTTCTTCACAATGCTGCCAAGCCAGATAGGCATTATAGGATGTGATTTGCTTCCATATCTTAGGGAATGTGGCTGGAGAGTAGATGTTTCACAATTCTGAATGCCTAGATCTCCTTGTTGTCTGAGCTGGGGCATAGAGGAATAGTCAAGAGTAGAGTTTGAGGTAGTTAACGCTTGCTGATATGAACTGTGCTCCATTTATTCGCATACCCCACTTCATGTGTTGCTCACAGTGCAATAACAATTTCAGACCTTCCGACCAATTTCAGTCTTCTTTAGTTGTAGCTCCAACTGAGCCTGTTCAGCTGTCTGGTGAATGCCCTGAAGCAGCTGACCTGCAAGCCTGGATCCCTTACCATGGGCACTGCTACTATATCGAGGCATCAGCAGCAACAGGGTGGGCCCAGGCCTCTCTCAAGTGCACTCATTTAGGTAAGAGACTTCTTTGTCAACTGACGTGATCTTTACTAAGGACTTCTACAAATTCTACACAGAAATGTAAAAACATTGATTTTAGAATAACATAAAAAATATTTATTTAAATTGAGGCAGTGATGGGGAACCATGGCTACCACCAACAGGGGTGCTGTCCTCATAAAAATCACTGAATCACACACTGCCCCAAATTGCAAGGGACACATAAGGAGTAAGTACAACTTCTGGAGAAGAAATGGGTGAAGCCAGCATGCATAAAACTTTCAAAAGTTATCATTTTTACAGCCTTAGAAGAGGAGATCATTCCAGTGGTTGTTTGCCTATATTGTGGTCATTTGCTTGTTAATGCTTTTCAGGTGCTACACTGGTTTCAGTAGAAAATGCGGATGAATCTGACTTTCTGATCCATACAATACAGCTACTTGGAAACAAAGTAGGAGGCTTCTGGATAGGTCTTTACAGAAATATGGATGGTAATACCTTACTTTCAATGTTTAATTTATTTGCAAGGCATTTTTATCTATGTTGCCTTTTTATGAAGTCTGTTTCAGAAACGTGAACTCATAATGGATGGTGCTTGAATTCTAGCAGTCTCTCTATTTTGATATTTAATTCTGTGGTGCTACTTTTGAAATATAGACAACTTTAACAATTTTCAGAACTCAAATGTTTTTTTTTTTTTTTTTTTTTCCAATTGTAATTTTAAGGAATTCTTTTCTACTCTGGCATTTCTCATTGTCTATAGCCATTCTGGATTCCAATTAATGAAATACAATTATCTCTGTAGTAATTTTCTGCAGTTTTATTGTAGCATTCCTACCTTTCTTCAATGATCTTCCAGTAAGAAAAAATGACAATGTCTCCTCCTGAAAAATGTGACATTTTTGAAGTAATTTTCTGTGGTATTAAAACATTTGTGTGGTACATTTTAAAATTTATTAGTATATATATTTCTCTTTAGAGAAGTGGTTGTGGTTGGATAATGCTGCAATGGACTTTGTCAACTGGGATTAGAAAGCGTCTGATGAGGAGCACCACTGTGTGGAAATGACTGCACATTCTGGTTACTGGGACAATGCTGATTGCTTTTCTGAAAAAGGATTTATCTGTAAGAAACCCAAAGGTAAGTGCTAGAAATAGAGCCCGTCACTTTACTACTAGCTTGCATACTTCTATATCACAAGTCTGGAAGTTATTTCTGGTGGTTTGATTTGACATATCCCACTTTTCCAGATATTTGTGATTATTTTAGCAGCAATGTCTGCTCTCATATGGAAATATGGTAACGTTCTGTGTATGCTCTAGGTTGAGAATGAGACTTTCAGAAAATTTTTAATATCTAATGAAGATTCTTGTGCAAACTTAGTTCCCAGAAAAGGTTTAAGTATTGTCATAGTTGTTATACTCTTGGAAGGAGGAATTCATCTGAATATTCAAGTTTTCTTTTCAAGTGTGCTGTACTCAAATACTACTTCAAAAAGTGTTGTAATATTGGGCCTGATTTAACAACTTCAAAAAACAAAAATGCCTGAGGAATATGAAAAGATCCATTGGTTGTGTTGCACTAGTAGTATCATGAGCACTATTATATGAAAATATATAGAAAGTCACTACAGAGCCTGTCTCATCAGAATTTCTGAAAAACTTTTGGGCAATAGTGGACAGTCAAATGTTCTGGGGGAAGAGGAATATGTAGTAACACTTTTTTCTTGTATTCCCAAGTGGAGATGTAAAACATATAGCTGCCTTAAAGAGAGCTTGCCTTTTGCTTCTCTTGGCTGCGTAGGGCCTATTCTGCATGGTGGAAAAGTAAAAGAAACAATAAAGTTCATTTCTCTTTCTTATTTTCTAGGCAGTGGGACCCAGTTTTTTTTAGCATAAATAAAACCAGCAATTTAGCACAGTCGTGAGTCTAGCCTCCGGCACAAGCAAAATGTAGTATGGAGAACATTGATCCCAAAATGATGGTAGCCAGCATAAATTCCTCAGTTAACTTTTAGCCTGCCTCAGTGTCTGCACTGATCTCCCTCCATCACCCTTCAGCCCTGTGGAGCTGAAATCTCACAAGCATCCATTTACTTGAGGCAACCTAAGGCCCACTTGGTCAAGAGTGTGACTGGCACTTCAGGGAGAAGAGGGAACCAAGCAGAAATTGTGTCCTCCAAGTACTTTCCCTCTCTCAGTGCTATTTTGTTTTGTGGTTTCAGATGTACACAGAATCACGAAATGTGGTTTTACCCAGTGAAGTCAATTTCTTTTTTTTTTTTTTTTTTTTTTTACACTGTTTGTGACCAGTCAGCTTCGCTTTTCTGGGTTGCTCTTGTATGCATGCTGACCCTAAGCTCTCGCTGAATCTCAACTGCAAACTTATTAAACAATTTACTGAGCTCCTACTTTAACTAAAGTCCGGCAACTTTTTTTTCTGAACAAGCTTTTGTTAGTACTTTTTAACTATCAAGTCAACCATTTTATGCATTAATTTTTCCTAACAATTTATAAATAAAAGCAAAGACAGTTGTTCCTCCTATGACATTCTACTTTGGTTTCTAGACCCTACTACATGTTGATTGAGTATTTCACTTATCACTTTTTTCACGATTTTTGTTACAACTTTGAATTTAACTGATGCTGATTTTGGAAGGAACTTAATCTTCAAAGAGAGTGATATTTCCAGTGTGCGTTAGAGTTATTTTGGAATGTCACATGACAGGATATGTCATGTGTACATCAGCACTTTGACAGAGAGAAGGATCTGTTACTATCCTCACTCAGAAGGCTTTTATACAATATTTTGATTGAGGGATGAAAGGAAAATTTGCAATGATTCTTGCCAGGTTCTTGGTTTTCCTTTGCCTTGTGTGTGGTACATTGCAATTACAGTCTCTGGGTAAGTTTCCTGCTGGTTTTGTGTTAAATTAGGTATGAAAATATTTTTCCCTTGAGCATATTTACAGTTTTAATGGACAAAGTGATTGTTTTATATTTGTAATCAGACTAGATATATGATGTGAAGAACGCATTATCCTGGTAGCTCCCAATTCACAGAATGAAAGAGGAGAGATGTGCAGATGTTAACGGAAAGTAAGGTAATAAGAGCAGGATACTTAAACTGGTGTTTCTTTCTGTGAAAATGCTAATTTAGATGGTACTGTAAATGAGGGCAATAAGAGGTGGGGTAGCATAGGGATCTCTCAATTTACTCTCCCCATCGTCTCCATAATGCAATGATGAAATTTTAGAGCCATATATTCATGTTAGCTGTAGTGATGACTGACCTGTATTCCTTTTGGTCAGCCTTTTTTGTTTTGTTTTATTTCATTTTGTATTGTTTTTATGTTTGTTTAATAAAAAAAGATGGAATAATGAAGTGAACCTACTGAGCTGCACAGAACAGTACAATGCAGTAAGATCCTTAATGTGCGAGATCTACTCAGGGTTTTTGTGTCTTCAGGAACCACAACTTATCAGTACAGGGCAGAATCAGATTTTCCTACAAGGTTAACATACCAGACTCTGAACAAAACATTTAAAGCTCAAACCATGCTATTACAATTTTTTTTATTTAAAAATTCTAGATGCAAAAAAATATAATAGTAATAAAATTAAAATGATAGTATGACCTCTCAGTTTAGGTAGGAAAACGGATTGATAAATAGTTCTATTAAGTCCTCATTAAATGTTGCTGAGAAAACAATTTATCAATCCATCAGTGAGGTTTGTTATCAGTTACAGTGTGCACATCCTTGTCAGAGTACAAGTGAATAAGTGAAAATAATCTGTCTGAACATTAGTCCCAGCAGCTGAGGGCTGCCTCTCTGCTGAGAGAAAGGAAGAAGAATCTCTGGAGCCTGGCTCAGCCCAGCCAGGTCCTGACTCACCTGCTGCAGGTGGCTGCTTTTCCTCATGGACCAGAGAACTGAAAAAGGCTCCTTCCTATATGTCTTAGGTGTGCAACTTAAGTGCATGTCATGACCAGACTGATTTTGGACTGCTATTTTTCTTTCCAAAATTATAATTACTCTTTATTCCTTAGATACCTCCTGTAGGTCAATTCTCATTTATACTGCTATACACTATTGCTTCTTGTTTCCCTATAACATCGACTTTTCTATCTTGCTCTTGTGTCTTCCTACCAGCCTCCATAACACGCTGCTGCAAAAATTACCTTCCTCTCCCGTCTTTGTAACAAACCTATGCTTGGCATTCCCCCACTGCTGGACACAGTCTGCAATCTGTTCTGCATTCCTTGCCAACTGCTTTCCCAACAGCGCAACAGTTTGACAAGGCGTTATGAGTTGTTCTGCAAAGATTGCAGCTGATCTGCACACTGGTGTTACACAGACAATTTTATAGCTCCTTGGGGCTGCCAGAGGCCAGGTTCAGCAACTTTGAACAAGCTACTTCTCTGGCTGATGCACTAAGAGGGAATTCTTTTCCCGGAGTTTCCAGGCCCATAGTTCAACTGCATGTTTGCTTTCTTCCTCTGAGTTTATCCAGGAATTATTTTTTTTTAATATACAGATTTGCCTGGTTTATGTAGTATTACTATCCCTTTTGTGGATTAAAAACAAGTACTGAGTAATATTGGCTATCATCTCACTTCATTTTAAAAACAAATTTAAAAGGATGTTTTAAATTTTTTAAAAAGTACATTTTTAAATGGATGATTGATCCAATTTCAAACTTTCCGGTGCTTTAGATTTGATCATAGAATCATTAAGGTTGGAAAAGGCCACTAAGAAAATTTAGTCCAACCATCAACCTGTCCCCACCATGCCTAATAACCACATCCCTCAATGCCACATCTACATGTCTCTTGAACTCTTCCAGGTGTGGTTACTCCACCACCCCTCTGGGCAGCCTGTGCCACTGCCTCACTGCTCTTTTAGAAAAAAAATAATTCCTGATATCCAACTGAATCTTCCCTGGTGCAGTGTAAGGCCATGACCTCTTGTACGTGTGGCTGATGCTGTGCATTCTTACAGGTTTTGCATCATTACGTACTTCATTTTCTTTTAGCTGATGCGATGCTAATACCCTAACAGTAGCACTCCATTTCACTTCTTTCAGATGACACAGAGAGATTTTGGACAGAAGATGCTTCTACTGGTGTTTGCTATCAAATAAACTCAGAATCAGCTCTGACATGGCATCAAGCAAGAAAAAGCTGTCAGGAGCAAAATGCAGAACTATTAAGCATCACGGAGATACATGAACAAGAATATGTAGGAGGTAAAAGAATAGAAAACAAGATCATCAAATATGCTGGGGAATTGCGCTGCTCCAGAGCTTTAGAGGATGCAGTTGGCTACCTTATCTCTTGGCTCAATGAAGAAGATGAGGTGTTCACTAGGAGCCTCAAGGAAGGTGCTCTGAGCAGCTTTTCCATTAGCTGGTATTTCTTTGTGATTGCTCCTGAACCAGTGCAGGGAGAAAAGTCGCCCCATCCCACTGTTGTATTCCAGGTAAGGGCTGCCATGTCTGCAGCCTGCTTCAGTTGGAGGATTCCCTCCACTTGCCTTACCTACTGGTATGCTCATTTCCAACCAGGACTGAAGCCTGGTCCTCAAATTTACCTCTTTCCTCTGTGCTTCAAGGACTACTATTAACCATGTGGGGGTTATAAATGGGAACAGATGATGAATAAACTGTTATTGAAATAGTAAAATCAGATGATTTGCCATTTTTACTAGCAATAGGAGATCTCTGCTATCTTTACGATTATTCATTTACACATCTTACTATTTAAATCTGTTTATTAATGTAAAAAGCAGTATTTGTGGGCAGGTTTAAACAAAAAAGGTAAATTACTTTTGACTTTATTTCTTTTACGTGAGCTTGCTAATAATTAGAATAGGAAGGCACCACTGACTTTCTTTTCTAATTTAGAGCTAATTAAAAAATTCAGTCTTGCATTGTGGATTGGATTGAACACTTTGAATTTCAACAGTGGATGGCAATGGGCTGGGGGCAGTCCTTTCAGATATTTAAACTGGGCTCCAGGTAAGAACTGCATTTACTTTATAATCTTGGAATGGATTCTGATAAGACACCAACGAATTAAGCTACCTCAGTTGCTTCTATTTCAGAGAAGCCTGTGTTAATTTACAATAGCCAATGACTTTTTATTTTCTCGCATAAGCAAAGAGTTTATTTATGAATGGAGAGTCTCTTTTGAAGTGATGTTTAACCTTGCAAATCAGAGGTCAGAATGTTTCCATAACGTTATCTAAGAGTATAAATTTAAATCAAACCTTCAAAAAGTAGCAAAATATTTAGAAAATAATGGCACTGTGTTGTCTGGAGAAATTCCAAATATTATGGAGAGACTCACAGAGCAAGCTCATAATTCCTCAATACTATATGCAAAACCGTATGGAATGATGTGTAGGAAGAGAGACTCGGGAACTGGTGGTGCACCTCACACACGGGCAGAGGGACAGCCCAGAGAGGAGGGAAAGCAGCCCAGAGTGATGGGAGAGGGGTGGGAGTGGGGTTTGCTGGTGTCAGGGCAGTAAGGGCCGCAGGCTGGCTGTAGGAAGTGGCCACCATCCAGCAAGCAGTCATGTCCCCTTGCTTACCTTCTTGTTCCTCAGCACTGGCAGGTCTGGTACTAGGCCACCACTCTTCTGTTCTTTTCAGAGGCTCTTTTACAACAAAACAGAAAAAAGAAAACCTCTTTTGTAGGAAAGAAGAACTGCAAAATTCTTGAGACATGCAAGTATGATTATTCTGCCTATGAGTACCAGTGTATCAGGAAAAGAACTAGAACTTTCCCCATACTATCCTGAGACAAAATCTAAGGAGAATCATTTGTCTCACTCAGTGTATAAAGATAAAAAGCACCACTCTGAAAACTGCAACAGCAATTATCCTGTGGGGAGGGCTTCTTCACGTTAAGCACTGAAAAAATCACTATAAGACAATCGTTCTACTGATGCAATCCATTTATTGATCTTTATGTAAGAGAATCTGTTTTCTCTCTTATTCAAAGGAAGTCCTTCCCCAGATCCTGGTAAAATCTGTGGCACAATGAACCCCAGACAGAATGCTAAATGGGAAAACCAAGCATGCAACCAGAGATTTGGCTACATCTGTAAAAAGAGAAAAATAAATTCAAAATTTGACAATATAACCGGAGGTATGTATAGAAAGAAAGATTTTTCTCTGGTTTCCAGAGAATGCTATCCCTAATTTACAAAAGAGAAGGGAATGCAACATTATTTTTTAACCAACGTTTCCAAAAGCAAAGCAATATATGCACACACAGGCTTTCATACAAGATGAGAGGACAAAGATGTAATATATTTATCATCCATAGGAGAATATTGTTATTTTGTTCCATCATTGCTATTCATTTTATCAAAACAGATAGAAGCTGTTTTGCCAATGTAACAGTGATAGCAATCGCATTTTGCATGCAAACAGTAGGAAGTTTATGGTTCTCCTTTGCTCCAAATGAGTAATTACAAGGATTGATTTTTATATTGATTTATATTATCAATATAAAAAATCATTTCCAACAACTATATGCAGCTGACTGAGTTCATATGTACAGAGCAGGAGGAACAGCAGCATTCACGCAGGCTGTGTTTCATCTGTTGCCTGCTGAGACCTAAGACTTCAGTAACACATCAGTGTAACTGTGTACATGGACATGCCCCATACAGGAGGGATCTGCCAGAGGCTGCTGTCTGGGAATGTTATAAAAGCTGCTTTTATAGTAGAAGACAGGAGAGACAGACCTCTGCCTTGGTCTCTCTTCTGCAGAGTAAAATTTTAAATTGTATCTCTGATACAATGTGGGCATTTTTATTGGTGCTTTACTTGACATGGAAAGACTAATCATTCTATTTGCATATTGAGCAAACTGTGCCTTAATGACATTTGCTTCTTATTTGATTATATTTGCATTTCTACCTGCCATTTTGTGTTTATTCATACAGTACTACTACTTGTAAAGAATGCTTATTTTACTCTTTATAAAATTGCTCTGAAAATTTTTGCTTCTATTTTAGAGGAAATGAGACCTACTAAATGCACAGAAGGTTGGTGGCCATATGCAGGCCACTGCTACAGCGTTCAAAGAGAATCCAAAGCATGGAAGGATGCCCTGACTTCATGTAAGAGGCAGGATGGAGACTTGGCCAGTGTCCACACCATTGCTGAATACAGCTTTCTGGTGTCACAGCTTGGTTACAGTGAGTATATAAGTGGGCCTCTATTCTGTTTGGCACATCTGCAATGCAAAAGCTGAGCTTCATTAAATATTAATGCTTTCTCTGAAATATCACAAGCTGAAGGCTGTATCTAACTTATGGTGTTGTCTGTTACTGATGCACAAACATAAGCATATATTTATTAAGAAAATCTACATTTTAAAGTATTTTGAAATAAGAAAGCATCTTATTATCAACAAATTTAGGTAACAGAATTTCCACGTAAAGATCTTTTAATATTTGCAGGTTTTGTGGGTTTTTTTTTCTACATTTTATAGTTCCAGAACTGAGCTTCAAATCTGAAAGAAATTTAACTTCCTGCTGAGAGTAAACCCTCTTGTTGAGGTTAACCTCTCAAAAATATTTCCTTCTAAGAAAATAATGCTTTTTCTTTTATGACTCTCCTCGAATCTGTCATCACCAGTCCTGACACTTGCCTCGCATGCTGGACTTGGTGACCACTCTTGACAGACCCTCTAAGGATCCCCAGTTAAGGAAATGTATTGGCAAATGTCTTTGTACCTCGGACTTCATCTCATCTCCTGATCAGTGGGGCACACTGAGAAACTCACTGCTTTATATCCATGCTGGGGGTGTTTTGTTCTTCTAAGCCACAGGTGCTCAGTTTGCAAAACATTTCTGTCAGCCATAAGGAGCTATATGTCCATTAATTTATGGGTGGCATCTGAAGTCTCTTCTCTACCAACTAAATCATCCCTTACTAGAGATCTGAACAGAAACCAGCACTTTGATTAGAGCATGAAGGCTGCCTCTTGTGCACCACATCCCAACTTTTATCTGTCCCTCTTCGTGCTGGATTTGGAAATGTTTGTTGTATTACATAGCAGACAATAAGCAAGTCTTTTTCTTTCCATGCTTTAGAGCCAACAGAAGAGCTATGGCTGGGCCTAAATGACCTGAAGGCTCATTTCTACTTTGAGTGGAGTGATGGGACTCCTGTGACGTTCACCACATGGCAGCGCAGACATCCCACCTATAGGAACGGTTTAGAGGACTGTGTTGTTATGAAGGGACAGGTAAAACTTGGCAGCTATTTTGTAGAAATGCAAACTAATAACTGCCTCAAACTGAAATCATGTACCAACCATCTACTTATTCAGCAGTCTTCTATATCTTATCTAAGAAACAAATTTGGCATCAGTCAAATGAAACTTGAGAGAACAGAGAAGATCAGAACTGGAGAGGCATCATAGTTGTAATGCAACATTTTGAAATTTCTTTCTTGGTGCAAAGCCAGATCCATGAGTTTTACATTAGAATTTACTTGTATTCTGCTGGTTACAACAATGGAAAAAAAGTTGTAGCTCTGGAGTGAAAGAAAGATGAGCTAGTAATATGATTGGTTATCAAAGATACTGTTAGCATACCTTATTTTCCTGTCTGGTAGACCATTAAGTTCATCCATATCACTTCATTGGGGCATGAAGACATGGCACTAGCGCATAGTTCTCCTCTGTAACACATATCTGCCAAATAACCTAATCTAAAGCCCTGTAGACTTTATTTTTGTTGCCATCATGATTGTTTGGGGTTTTGTACTCATTTACACATATATGCATACACATATAGAAAGTATTATGGAAAAAAAACAAACACAAAAGAATTTGAAAATGCACAAGTGCTATGATGTAGAAAAATATTTATGTCTGTCAGTATTAGACATTAACCACATTTCATGAATAAAAAGGTCTTATTTCAATTTTATTTTTTAACATAATTCCTTCTTTAATAGAAACCAGTCGTTTTCAGTCTTCTCCTTGATGGATGAAATAATTGGGTGTGTTATGACACATTTAGGTGTACATTATTTCTGCTTCATTGATCTCTTTGCCGTAAGCATAATGAAATATCACGACTATAAATGCGCATCCTTTGGCTTTGGATGAGAGGTCTTTTACTAACTCTCTCTTGAAATAGGTAGTTGAAATAGCCAATAAAGTCAAAACTTCAAAATTTAATTTATTTCATTCTTTCATCTCAAAACAGCATCAAATGAACCTCAAACCAATCCTCAAAGGTCTTTTTTTTTTCTGTTGATGGAGATTTCTTAAAAAATCCTATCGTTTTCTTACGTAAAATACATCAGTGGATCTTGTAGTGAAGAAGAAAAATAATTATTTTCTTATGCTTACAAATGCCCCTATTTTTACACTTGTTTATTCTCTCTGCACTTCTAGGATGGGTACTGGGCAACTGATGTTTGTGATAGGCAACTTGGTTACATCTGTAAAAAGAAGCCCTCATCAAAGTCTCCTGAAGAAAAGATCAAGGACCCAGGCTGCCAAGAAGTAAATGGTGTCTCATAAATGATTCATGTTGGGGAAAATCAACATTAATTATTTTATTTGCTCTTCATACTTTTAGAGACTTGGTGTTTGTTTATTTGAGGAAACCTAGTCTTTTTCTCACAAACAATTATTATATGCATATACTTCATTTTTGCTCTGAAAATATTCAAGAATGTAAGCAGTTACTTAAATGTAAATGATAACGTAAATGTAACAAGATACATCTTTTACATGAGTTCATTATCGTTCTACTTATACTCACAGCCAAACATGCAAAATTGCCCAAAGTCACTTTGTTCTGTCTCTCAGATCTGTTATTTAAAGTTTTCACAGCAAAATCTTTACTATTGAAAGAACTTTAAAAGAAACAAAGTAATTTCCAAAAAAAAGAAGATCGGGTTTTCTGTACCGTATGACTACTGGTGGGTTACTTATTTGGTCTTTTAATGATATTAGTGGGTTATTTCTTCCAAAATTCACTTTTTTAGAGCATCATTAAATCTATTCTAGTCAGCAGTAATCTCTCTAATAACAGAAAGAAGCAGGGGTGTTTTAGTGAGGTTCCTCCTTTCCACTCAGCCCAAACAAGCACTGGCTGAGTTCCTCTTGGCACAGAAAGTCTCCTTGCTATTCCTTCAAGGCTGGCAGACACAGCTTTGAAGCACTGTGCTTATACAGTTATATAATTGTATCCTTACAATTATAAGAATTAATTTCAGAACTGGAATACTTTTGTATTTCATCATGTCAGATCCTGCAACTAGAGAATGTGTGGCCACAGCTCCCCCTGAATGAATCACTGCCTTATTATGGTGATGTTTGCACAAATCCAGCCTTATAGAGAACTGAAATGTGATAACAGTCATTTTCTTTGAAAATTCATGTACACATAAAAGAAATGAAGAGTTTAATATCATCATTTAAGTAAAAAGGCCTTCTGTAGGAGAAGAGACAACAAAAATCTCATAGTTTTTGTTTATTAACAAATTTGCCTAATCTCATCTTGTTTTTAATCCCAGCTGCAACAAATTAAATATATTTACATATAAAAGAGCGCAGCTAATTTCTATACTGAAGTATCTTTACAATTCACATTAAGGTCATCCTTTTCTTCTTCACAGGGTTGGAAAAGATTTAATTTTCACTGTTATTTGGTGGGTTCTGCACTTGCAACCTTCTCAGATGCAAATAAGACATGTGAGAAGAGCAAAGCTTATCTAGCTACAGTGGAAACCAGGTAGGAAATTATCATTCTTCTACTTTAAAATTAGTGCTTCTACTTCAGAAACCTTCAAAATATTTGTCCCATTTTTTGAAAGCTTTGGAAAGCACTTCAGTAACACTTTTAAATTGTTCAGTAATAGGAAAGAAAAAAGACTTCATGTTTTACGGATTTCTATTTAATTAAAATTGCTTTCAAATTTTGAGGGTTCTTGAGTTCCATTTTCTCCTAGTATTAAATTTGTGATCAAGGCAGCCCCTATTTTATTTTTTATTTTCTTTTGGAAATTGGTTACTACTGTTTTCCTTTATTTACTGAGGAGCGCTATCTCATCAAATGTAGGAAATTTAATAAATAAATAAATAAATTCCTAAGCATCTTCTACATCAAATTCTGAACAAATGTAGGAATTCTCCCAGTATATTTCTACCATAACCAGAATGTATTATGGCACCTATCTCCATCTCAGATGGGCTTTGCACTTCATGGCCTCTGAGGAACACCACTGCTTTCAGAGGTGATGTGTAGCAAATCTGGCTGCAGCTTAGTTCTCACCTGCTGGTAGATTTGAGGCATCACACATTGTGACATTTGCAGTGGTGATTTGGTGATTTTTGACATTTCACAGAACCGGGTAGTAAGGAGAGGATGCCTTCAGCTGAAAAGAGAAAGCTGTCCCTCACCAAGTTCTTTCAACCACACTAAAGCTTGCTGAGGTTTTGCTTGAACTTCTCTGAGGACTCGTTCTCCTGGGGTCATGTTAGCATGATAGCCTTACTTGTACCAATTGGATCAGCACTGGGAGGCAATATGTTGTGTTTCAATGATGTTTTCCACCTCAGGAATGAGCAAGCTTTCCTGATTAGTCTGACTGGGCTGAGGTCTGAAAAGTATTTCTGGCTTGGTCTCTCTGACATAGAAGAACAAGGGATGTTCAGGTGGACCAGTGGTGAAACTCCTTCCTTCACACACTGGAATTCAGCAATGCCAGGTAAGTTGTGCATGAGCTCAACCCTTGTAATCAGAGTCCAGCTGAAATTCAAGCAGACTTCTGCTTTCTATCCCCTAGTACTGGAAATAAGAGAAGGTCCTTTTGTGTTTACAGCTGTAGGTGACCAATATCAACAGACCTTGTTTTTGGCCCCAGTGTAAAACACATCCACAGCAGAGTGTCAGGTGCTGTGTAACTCAGTTACCTGTAAATCTGTATAGAAACATATTTAATGGGCTACACTGAATGCAATAGTAGCTGACAAGATCCATAGTCTCTTTTTTTTTTTTTTTTTTTTTTTTTTTTTTTTTTTTTACATTTTTAACAGCTGTTAACAACAACTCATCACTTTGAGGAAATTGATTATGGGCAGTGCATGGGGCCCACAGGTGAGAAATGGAGAGCAGGTGTCCAGCTGTTCTGCATTTCAACAAAAGGTGACCGGAGGCTCTTGTCTTCATAGTAGCGAGTTGTGTGTTGAAGCAAACTTCTCGTACTTGATATCATCCTTTCTGAAATTGAATTACCTGGATTCTGAGAACTGCAAAGCAGTTGACAGGCCATCTGTTACAGATGAAAATAAAATCAAGTGTTATGTGCCCTGTGATTTCCCTGGGGTGGCAAGATAAGGAACATTTGTATCCTAAATCTGCAATCTCCAGTTTTAGGACAGGTGTGTCTCTGAGGTTCATTGACCGATCTCTGTGCTGTGGCAAGAGATATTCAGAATAATTTCATAGCTATGGTGGCTTAAAATCTGCATAATATGCAGCTTTATATCATAATTTTGTATGAATACAAAGATCTAATTTCCTAGAAAGCAATTAGACTTTGATTTTGTTTATTTCTTTTATGTATCACAAAGGGAAAGAGCAAGGCTGCGTTGCCATGGGAACTGGAGCCAATGCTGGATTATGGGATGTCATTAGCTGCCGGGAGACAGCAAATTTCTTTTGCAAGCAGAGGGCAGTGGAAGTGCTACCGCCAGCTCCTCCTGCCCAGGTCCCAGCAGCATCCTGTGCCCAGGGTTGGGATGGAGCCCCACAGGCAGACTCCTGCTTCAAGGTCAGTGCATCGCTGCCCTGCCAGCCTGAGGGCCTGGCCTGACATGAAGGGACCCAAGTGCTGAGCATTTCTGGAGAATTATCTCCTTTAGGGAATTCAAGTGCATAAAAATAAAAAAGAAACCCATGAGACAAGTCCATCAAATATAACAAAGCACAACAATGAAAGAGCTTACAGCAGTGAGAATGAGAAGCTAAAAATAAGCTTCATTTTACAGAAATGAGAGGTGGGAACCTTTCCACATTTATCTCCTTCCAAGAATTTGGAACTTCAGACAAGTGTAGTACTAAATCTCAAGAGCTGACTGCGTCACTTGAATAAAACCATATATCCTAAGAGAAAGATGATGGGAGTCTGGCCTTCTGACAGCTTTCTTTCACAGAAGTAATGTTTTTAGTGATACTTTTAGATCCAGATTTAGTTTGCCATTGGTGACACTTCAGCAAGAAAAAGCTTTGTATGTTCTTTTGATTGAGCTAAAAATTTCTGAAAAGGAAAAAGTAAAGAGAAAGTAAAATAAATGAAGTAAAATGTCAATAATATGTAACATTGCTCTTCCAAGTCTTTATGTAAGCATCCTTCCCCTTTCTCTCCTGAGATTCTGCCTGCTAGAAGGACACATGATTTTAGCCTTTTATTTACAAGGGTATCAACTTTTATGTCACAGCCAGTTAATTGTTGTTACTCATTATTGATTTTTCTGTGTATCTGCTTGCTGCTTATCCTTGCCCCAAAATGTCAAGCATCATTCTTCAAGGCCATGTGTACTTCGTATTAGGATGCAGAGCTTGCAGTGCTGTATAAAAGCTCTTCCTCAGCCCCTTTCAAAATGTCTGCCTCCATCCATATTATCTTTCCTATTTCAACATATTGATTTACCTGCCTCCCATTTCTCAATAATCTCCTGCTTTCTACTACACAGTACTAAGACTAGTCAATTCTATTTTTCTTTGAGCCCTTCGGTGTTCAAAGCTCTAATTAAGTTATAAACCATTGTGACACTTTTTGTTCTTCCCTGAAACCTAGGCTAATCTTCCCTCGCTATTTTAAAATAGAAGAGAAAAATATAGTTACAATCTACATGACTGATGTTTAATACTATAGGTCTTGAAAGACGTTGTCTAAGTTTTAAGGGGATTCTAAAATAATATTGATCTCAATTACACAGCAAATCACATTTTTACATCAAACTTTATATTTATATTTTGTAACTTATCACAATTTTTTTCTCAATAGTTCTTTGTGAGGGACAAAAACCTAAAGAAGAATTGGTTTGAAGCTGAAGAATTCTGTAGAGAAATAGGAGGAAATCTGGTCACAATCAATTCAAAAGAAGATCAAGTTTTTATATGGCAGTTAGCATTGTGAGTACTTGCACAGTCATTCTTTTTTATGTTCATATTATGCTAAATAATAAGATACATTAGGAGCTGAGTATTAAGTGAATAAAAATGATAAACTTTAAAAGAAAATAGCTTTCATTTGGAAATACAATTCAGTGTGATATTTTAAATATACATATTTCAAATTGAATATTTTCATGTAGCTTTGAAATTCTGAAGTTTTCATCACAGTTTCTTGTTAAGGCTGTTCTCCAGATCTGATCAACGTTGTACATGTGAACCACTTCTTCCAAAAAGGAGGCACTAAAATGTTCAGCTCTAATTGTGTGGGTTTTTTAATGGTTACTATTCATATTTTAATACATACATTCAAAAAAACTTAAACACAAAAAAATCCTTGTGGAAATTACTAGCCTATAAATTGAAGACTCCTCAAATCAAATGAATAAATTTTCATTCATTTATATTAACATTGTAGATGCCATATTGCCATCAAGTGCCATCACAAGAAGTGCCATGGAGGAAATCAGAGAAGTTGAAAAAGAAATTACTTTTTCATTTATTAGATTGCATCATAGCTCTCTAGTCACAGTTTACTTTTATTAAAAGCTGTTTCTATGAATTCCTGCTAGGAACTAGGAACTGTACTTCAGCCACAAGTATGGGACCTGAGCTAGCACAGTGCTACACTGCTTCTCCTCCAAATTAACTTCAACATGTCCCATGCCAGCACAGAACTTTGGGAACTCCACGTCAAAGAGTGCAGTTAATGAGCTTGGCTGTGGGCTGGCAGGGAAGGAGTAGCTCCTGCTTCAGATGTGACTCAAAGCTGCATGTTTTTATGCTTTCCAGCATTTATATGGCTCCTCTTCTGCATTGATGTACCAATATTGTATGATTTCTTTCAGGGAAAAAGGACTGCAAACTCAGGGTTTCTGGATGGGTTTGTTTCTCTTAAATCCTGACGAAGGATTTACCTGGATTGATGGTTCTCCTGTGAGTACTTATTTGCTGGATACTATTTTTTTTTCACAGTTTTTATAACATGTAGATTTTCATGGTTTTAGTGCTTTTTTCCAACCTCTTTAAGCTGTTGTAGGGCAGCAGTTCACCATCAGCTGAACAGCTGCAGCAGTTGTCTCAGCAATGGCACTGTCTCAGCACTCTGGAAGCACATCACTCATAACTATCCTCATCACTCACACCATGCTATATCCCATATTCCACTGCATGTGCTCTTAGGTCTTCATCACACCCATACCCCTGCTGTGTGACAGAACTGGGGAAGTCAGCTCGCCATCTCTTACAGAGTCAGATTAATGTCACTCCCTCCATGCGTCTATTTTTCCTCCATGCTTTCTAGAAAGTGTAATCTTTTCACCTCTGGGAAGTGATAGAAAGTGAACATATTAGTAAGACCTCCCCAGCCTGATCAGAGATTTCTGAACTCCTTCTGATTGTATAAATGAGCTGCTTGGGCTGATGAGACCATGACACTGAGAGACAAAAATCTCAATTACTTCCACTCCGTTCAAAGCACGTAGTGAATGAGCTGTGTTTCCCACACAGGTAATTTATGAGAACTGGGATGAAGATGAACCTAATAATGATAAAGGAATTGAGCACTGTGTTATGCTTAATAGATCACCACAAATGCGCTGGAATGACTTGTACTGTGAACATTTGCTTAATTGGATTTGTGAAACTAAAAAAGGTACGACTACTTCACCATTTAATTGGAGTGATAAGCACAATTCAAAAAGAAATTATATGGATGTCAGCAAATTTAAAGAAGAAACATATTGGGAATTTTTCATTGTAAAACTAGAGCGGTGAAGGTAACACTTAAAGCAAGAGGAACAAACTGAGATATTTCAGTTGTACTCAGATGTGGGAAGTTCAAGAAATTGCTTTATATCCGGCTTTATCTCTTTTAGATGTGGGTTGAATAAATTTGCAAGGCAAAGATGCTTAATCTCCTTACAAAGACAAGGAGAAGATAAAAGTAGATAAAAATCTCCTTATCTTGCTATCTTCTATGGGTTCACAGAGGAGACCTGAAGATGCAGGAGACTGAGTTCCCCACGCAAAAGATTAAAAAAAAAAAAAAAAAAAAAAAGGTTTGGTTCCCATTGTAAGACAGATAATGGGAACTAGAGAGAGGGTTAAGTTGCTATGGGAACTAGAATATTGAAAAGCTGATCAAAAATAGAATTACTGTAGCCCTGAAGGACTCCTAGATCTACTTTAAAAGCTCCCAGAAGTTAAAAGGAAGGTGGATGCACATGGGGAAATTGTGAGAGGAAGGATAGGGAGGGGAAAGGAAAAGCAGCTGCGCAAACATCACTGAGTATATCTAATGGACCTCTGCCAACAAATAGCCAGAAATGCACCATATTACCATTGGAAAATTACTTACCTGAACTGGAAGAATCCCTGTTCCATTGTGGGTTGATTAGTTCTCACACACACTGGCAGAACACTGCTGCTCACCAGCACATCCTGCACAGCCCTGCAGACGTGCTGAGCCTGCTGCACTGCACAGAAGGCTTTGTGAGATGCTCAGGAGGAATTCGCAAACTGTGGCAGAGATACTCCAGTCAGCTCATCTTGACTCTAGGGTACTTGACTACTACTCTCAGTAGTAAAAATAAATAAATAAAATTAAATAAAGGAAATAATTAGACCTTGTTATTATGTGTATCAATTAGATGAGATCCCAATGAAAGGGGAGATGGAGTGAAGTTAATTATCTCATTTTTTTTAGCATGCAACGTTATTATTTAGCCTGGTGCACCTGGAGATCCATGTATAACATTACAAATCAAATCTATCCGGCTTGTGACTTCCCCATTGTTTGTTTTGTGTTTGGAACATTGCTCATAATTACGTTTTGTTTTACAGGTACTCTGCTCAAACCTGAACCAAACAACAAACATGGTAGGATTTTTCCCTCTTTCAGTGGAAGTTTTACTGTATAGTTTTTGGACTTTGTACAGATATGATATGATGTCAAATATGTTTTTCTTTATCTTCCAGAATATCGAGCTGTACAAACTGCTGATGGGTGGATTATATACAAAGATAAGCAGTACTATTTCAGCAGAGAACGTGTCCCTATGGAAAAAGCACGGAGAATTTGCCAGAGGAACTTTGCAGATCTCGTTGTCATTGAGGATGAAAATGAAAGACAGCTTATTTGGAAATATGTAAGCACTGAACCTTCTGATTATCTATTATTATTTACATAGTAATTACAATTTTTATTTATATATATGTACTAATTATTAACTGAGCACATTGGTTGTGGGCACTTTTGAATCCATTAACAATTTCACTGTTTTTTATTTTAACTGCTTGGTAAAATCATTGCATTGGTCTTGAAGCATCCAGCACAAAACAGGAAACTGAGCTTCATCCTCACTGGCAGGCAGTGGGCATTGGGACTTTCCAGCCTTCCTGAAGGTTTGAGATCAGCAGCCAAGAATGCTGATGAGGGACGTTTCAATTCTGATGCAGAGCAGATGAAAAAATAAAAAGATTTTAGCTGTTTATCCAGGCTAAAATCCTGAGTTTCTGTCCTATATTACGTATTTGTATTATGGTATATTTTTCCAGTAATTTCCACTGTCTTTAGACATTACTACTGTCTTTAGTAGGAAGAGAAAAAATGCATGTGAATGTTATAGGTGTAGCAAAGAATAGTTCAGAGATCCTGCATCTGTTGCCTTCTTGCAGCCCAGGTTTGGGACTGTGAAACAACCGAAAATACAGCTGCAGAACTGTCCAGTTGTTAACTGTGCCAATCACTTTTGTTTTAGATTAACAGAAAACTGAGTGGTGTATTTCTCCAAGAGGAATCATATTTCATTGGCTTATTTGTCAGTTCTGATCGGAAGCTCAGGTGGGTAAAAGAAGAGTACTAAAGCTGTTAATGGACAGCAAACAGTAATTTAATCTCGCTCTATGGGTGCGGGTACTTGTGTGTTCTTTAGTTAATAACACTTGTGTGACAGAACTCTGGTAGGTTTCAGAAGTCTGAGATGAGGATATTATTTTTTTTCTATACTTTAGCAAAACAGTGTGTGTTCCTTCCAAATCAAGGTGAGCAAATGTAAAATTTCATGGGTAACGCTCATTTCACTTGATGTCTGACACTGAGAGATGTGAATTTGAGACCCAGGCATGCCTTCACAGGCAATGAACATAAACAGCAAGGTTTGTGGTGTTAGACATCCACCTTATGATGGGTTTAACTCAGACTTAGATCTCTAATAGTTATGTAGAAACTCTGGAGGTTCACACAGAAACATTTAACCAGAGAAATCCCACTGGCTCAAGTTATGTGAGCCTGAAGCTTGTGCATCTCACAGCTCTCTGAAATTCCTGTTAGGTAACCTTTTTAGAAATCTGTTTGTAGAAGACTTTCATGAGGATACCTTTCTAAAATGAAAGGCAAGTCCATGCTCTGGTGTTACAGCCTCATCCAGACTGTTAGAAGCTGCCGAGTCCAACACTATTTATCCAGCCTTTGGTCAAACGGGACACTGATGGGACTTCAGTGCGACAGCACTGAACAGGTGAGAGGCAGCACTAATGCTGTGGATCTGTCCTCTCAGTATATGTAGAGCCTTTGTTCTTTGGTCACTAATCATACCTTGCTCAGCCCTTCTGCTAAACACTCATAACTCAAATTGGCTGCTGGAGATGTCTGTATGGCAACCATCTGTTGTTTTGTTTTTTTTTCAGCTGGCTGGGTAAAACCCCTGTGAACTATGTTGCCTGGGCTCCGGGAGAACCCATTTATTCACATAATGATGAAAACTGTGTGGTAATAAGAAAAGATTTTGGTGAGTAAAACAGCAACAAGAAACATTTGGTCAAATATCTTAATGGGCTTATTCATCAAAAGCTAAAGGTTTTGCCACCTGTTTAAACCTAAGGCTCCCCATTGGCTGCTGAACAATGGGAACTATTTTTCATAACAAGTACATTAAGGTTTAAATGTATGCCAGTGCTCATAGAAGACAAATGTATTGCAGTGGGAAGAGGGCTCTATTTGGGCTGCCAGTGTAAATGTCGACTGTCTCGACTGTTATATGTCTCTGGAAGGTAATGTTTGTCAGTTATGAATGTTGGCTGGGTTAGCCTCTGCAATGGCAGTAGGAGTGTTTGACAGACTGATTGCATTTCTTCTATTTACAGGCTTTTGGAACGGTGTAAACTGTGGTTTGAAAAATGCCTTCATCTGTGAAAGGCACAATTCAACTTACTCAGGATTTGTTCCCACTGTACTTCCGCCTTTGGGAGGATGTCCTGAAATGTGGATTTTGTTTCAAAATAAGGTACGTATACACAATAAGTAACAAATATCAGCAGCTTTTAGAAGACTAGCTATAAATAACTGCATAAGTGCTCCCATTTTATACACTACTCTCTTAAGTGGCATTCTAACTAGCAGTGGAGTCAACTTTTGTGGTTTTTTTTTTTTTCCTGTTTCTGAACTTACATTTATTAAATTATAATTTCTGAGTGCTCAAATGCAGTTAGCCATTGTTACTTCTTTGGTTTCTGTAACTTTCTTTTTATTTTAGACATCTTTATTGCACGGAATAACCTTGGACAGCAATGGGTCTGAGCCCTGCACACACAAAGTTGTGATTAGCTGTGTCTACTCCTCATTGGCTGAATGTATGGCATTTCAGCAGCTCCCTCAACTGCTGCTCTTTGTATGCAGGGACTGATGAATCAAATCAAATATAATTCTCCTTGACACCTGAAATTTTGCTTAATTATTTACTCTCCCTACAGTGTTATAAAATAGTTGGGTCCAGGGAAGAAGAGAGACTGACTTGGTACTCAGCAAGAAGTGCTTGTATAGAACTAGGGGGAAATTTGGCCTCTATACACAATGCTCAAGTACAAGGTATGGTATCTCAACTTTTGGTGCTAGCTGCAAAGCCAGTAAATCTCACCAAAGAGGTTATAATTGTTAGTTAAAACTGTAGCTGTGGATGTTGTGGCCAAGTGAATTCTTTCTTGTGATTTCTAAATATGTGAGCACTTCAAAATGACGTAACTATTTTGCACTGGATCAAAACATTCAGGTTCTGTATGTATTGATGACACTACACAGAACCTGCTGGCATTGCTAGTCATGGGGAAATTGTAGAATAATCATGTAATGACTGTAAAGATGAATACTCATGTGATCCCACTGTACGATAAACCCATCACCACCTTTCTCATAGTTCCCCTTTTACAAGGTCAGAAGTATCTTCAGAAAACTATGCATTGGTCACCAGTAGTTCTCCAGGGTGAGGGCAGAAAACGTTATTCCAAAAAAACTCCTGACTGTTGTAATATTCAGTATCTCTTTTTAACCATTTCAACAAGTGATACATATGTCACCTTTTCAGGTGATGTAGTGGCATGATAGAGTTCAGGATTAGAATTTGAAACATTCTTGACAAGATTTTTGTTTTTTGGATGGGGAAGGGATGGAGAAGGGAAGGAAGTAATTGAATGAGTTTAAGTGCAAACAACTATATCAACATACCAGTAATCTTTTGCATGAAAACAAAATGTCAGTAGCCCCAATAAGATCTGAAGCTGAACTGCAAACTAAACATGAATCAGCATTGTTAGAGGATAGAAGGAGAAGAAGGAGGCAACGCTGGAAGAAACCTATTGTCCATAGACATCCAAATCTTCTGCTTCCTTCTCATCCATCACCCCCCGAATCCCTTTGGCCTTTCCCAGCACCTCTTCTTTTCTCCAAAACTCATTCTTTGCTTCCACTAACTGTAATTTTGGCTGTTTTACAACAGCCAAAATAGTCTCCAATTCTAAATAGTACCTATCTAAGCAGTCCCAACTATGTAGCCCCTGTGAAGGAAAATCCAAAGCTGCTTGATCCAGAGCACAGATTGGAGTGAGTTATTGATGCTTCTCATCTCTTGGCAACAGTATAGGGTGGAAAGACAAAAATAATCTGTTCCCTATCGCCTTGGAAAATGTGATAAATAGCAATGTTTGAACTGCCCTCAGAAATTCAAAATGTACAAATTTCCACTGGAAATGACATATGTAAAGTTAGCTGATGCTAACTTTAGGAAGACTAATTAATTCTTTCAAACTTCCTTCTAGCCCTAATTTTGATAATATTTACAGGAGTTCTCTGAGTAACATTTTTATATTAAAAACTGCTTATTTTATATTTTTAATATAATGAAACTACTTCAGTTAAAATATTCATTTTAAAATTTATTTTCTTTTAGCATTCCTCACTTTCCATCTAAAGGATGTCACGGATGAGGCTTGGATAGGATTAAATGATAAGCATTCATATGTTTGGACAGATGGAAGCCCTTATGATTATGCATATTGGGCAAGAGGATTCCCCTTGGGTAAATACAGTAGAGTTGGCTGGAAGGTATGAGACAATACGGGTAAACAGAAAATAAAATCTGTACATGCATAACTTAGACTCAAACCAAGTAGAAGTTTTAAAAGTTGACCCAGAGATTAATAGTTCTGTTAAGTGCATGTAGTTATCTTCATTCCTTTGCACAAGACCATAACTGTAGAAAAGGACTGCTGTAGTTTATTACAGTTAGAGTTATTAGACCTATTAGATTTTACTGAAAATAATTAGCATTGTTGTTTCTTACTTCATTTTATTATTCTCTTTGTACAGCATGAATGCAAATTAAAGATTCAGCAAATTAAGTATAGATTAACATCAACTATATTAAAAATATCTTTTCTGCACTCAAAAAATTTAAGAAACTGACAACATTCTTATAGTAATATGCCAAGGAAAGTACTCAAGATATAAACCAAGACGCATTTATTTTTCCAAGAAGTGATAAGTAAAACAAAAAGAAAAGAAAAGGAAAAGGAAAAAAAAAAAAAAAAAAAAAAAAAAAAGGCCTCCTTTTTTATCACCTATAAGTTTCTTTTCTATTTTTTCCCCTAGACTGACTGTATTGCGATGACGGTAAGATCTGTAAATGAAGCAGGGAAGTGGGAAAACACAGACTGCCATCACAACAAAAGCTATATTTGCCAGATGGACAGCAGTAAGTTCTATTTTTCATGCTCTTTGTTGGAAGACTGGTACTGGATAATATGAGCACACATGTCTTCCACTACAGTTGCCTTCTTATGTCTACTGAAATTGAGGTGAAGCAAGCAAGGCTCCTTTCCTAGCTCAAGAATTCCAGATATGAAGCCTGCTCTTGGATAAGAATTACAGAAGAATTTGTGTTTTACAGCCCCTCCCCTCACATCTTTCAGGGGAGCTGAATGCACCCACTCTGCAGAACAGACATGCACATACAGGCTGGTTGCCCACACATAGTGGACTCTTTGGAGGCAGGATACATCTGATCCTGACAGAAGTGCCCAACACAAGTTAGGTGATCTGTGCCTTCAAAATCCTGTTTCTCTCATTTCACAAAAGGAATTTAGCTGTCTATGACCTAATTAACAGGCACAGATAAGGATATATAAATAAGGTTAGCTGGCAAAGGCAAACCCTCTTACCAAAACCCCTCACGTGCCTCTCTTGGAGGGGTTAATTAAGGTCAGTAAAACTGGTTATGTTGCCCATCAGTCTCTTGCAATGCTTTTATATCTTAAGACTAAGGATCAGAAGGACAAAAGTTCTTATCGTCTTCATATATCCTCAGGGTGGGAGACATAACCAAAGAACAGCTATGCTGCAGAGTCTGCAGGAAGAGAAACAGGAACTGCTGAGTAGTGAGCCAAGTTCTGTGGCTAAAAATACAAGGGGAAGCCACAGCTGGGCCAGGTGCTATACCCCATGCAGTGGCAGAGAGATGCACAAGTGCATCCCTAATGACACCACTTTAGGGTGTTTTCAGCATTGTATGAACATGAATGCCCTTTTACTGTACTCAGCACCACCTTTTCTACTTCCATATATACCATTTAAGGTGCAAATACAATTTCTTTTTTCGATTTATCCTGCACAGAAAAGAAGGAGAGTCACAAACTGATATTAGAATGAAATTTACCCTTTTTGAAACTCAGAGGGCATGGAGATCCTGCTCCATACTTTTCTGAGAGGAATTTCACTTGCACTGCAGTAGGGGAAGAATCCAGGAGAGAAGTGGATAGTGAATAGCTTTGTCACCCATATTCGTAAGTTTTCAAAAAAATCATTAACGTTGGGAAAGACCACTAAGATCTCCTAGTCCAGTCATTATCTGGTGGCAGTGTATGTCTGCAGAATCTGCTTCTCGCTAATCCCTGAGTACTCTATGTAAATTATAGTTACAAACAATTCTAAGTTACTTTTGTTAAATATTTCCTGCATCTTAAATGATAAATGGTTTTATTCAATGCCTGTAACAAAATATCAAAATATCTGTGTACTACACTATGTTAATCACTACTGAGAAGTTATACTGCTTTTTAGGCAGCTAGGAACTATCAATGTTTTCTCTTCCTCCTCTCAAATCTTTTTGCAGAGCCTGAACTATTCCATTCCACAACTGCTCCAGATTCTGACTTCTTCCATTATGGTAACAGTAGCTATTTAATCATTCCTTCTAAAATGAGTTGGGAAGAAGCAAGAAAAGCCTGCAGGGTGAAATCTTCAGAGCTTGCCAGCGTTTCAGATTATTACAGTAATATATTTCTCCTGCTCCAGGCAGCACAGTATGGCGAGCCCTTATGGATTGGACTCAATAGCAATATGGTAAGATTGATAAGTTGATGATTGCCGTGGTTAAATGCTGTTATTTGATTATATTGTTACGAAAAGAGGGAGATCTGTAGCATGAATAGGTTTTGGGAGCCTAGAAATGGTGGACAACACTCACTTCATTTAGCTTTATCATCTTAAAAATGTTAAACTTCATCCCAGGCAATGGAGAGGAATGGAAGCCTCTGACAGCATTGATCTCTTTACTAACAGTATGGGAATCTTGGGTACACACACGTCAAACTACCTGGTAAATTTTTAGATGTCTGCTTTTAGGAGAGATGAATACTACTCAAGGGGACCACCAAGGTCATTAATGATAGAGCCTTGTGATCGTTGGCAGCTGTGTTTTCATCACTAATTTTAGATCAGAAGGTCTCATAGAGACCTCATATGCTTCTGACCACCTTCATTGTTACACACACCAAGTCCATAAGGTTAAGAGCAGTAAGAGTAAAATACATACAAACAAACAAAAAACTGCATCCAAAAAAGTAAATCACAAAGAAGTGAAGAATGATGCAGGTCCATTGCTGTCTAGAGAAACACTGGAGTAAGCATTAGCTCTGTAACTGTGTGCCAAAGTAAGTGTCAGCTTCTCAGATAAATATGTCATTCCTCAATTCATTTACATTATCAACATGCTTTTCTTGCATCTTTATTTGAGCTAAGTAAACCACACTGATATTAAAGATTAGTTCTCTCATGAGTAATAATTTTCTTCACTTGCCATTGTTTTCACTGATTGTGATTCCACACTGACATATAACTAAGTAAAATGTTTGAACCTACAGTATCCCTAGGGAGATCTTGCAATTAATGTTGTGTAATGATGACATTTCTGATTATATGATGCAGTCGCACTAATAAAAGGCCACAGTGCATGAGACAGTGCAGCTGTTGCTGAAAAAAATGTATCTTATGGCCTCTGACAGTGCCTTTCCATACTAGACAGAATCTCAGAATGTCTTTGTGTTTGCTATGTGACTGCATCACTGAGCTTGACACAGATCTCCACATTTGCAGAACACCACAGAAGACCTCTTTCCAAAACAAATGCTGGTGTTTAAGTCCACTTAATATCAAAGCTGGGTGATAATCACAGAAATGTGTTAGAAAGGTGTTAATAATTATGAACAAGTCTGGCAGGAAGATATGTGATGATCCAAACATCTGTAAAGAATCTGACCTTGCTCTTGTAGGGTGAAATTCTGAGGTTCTTCCTGTTCCCCAGGCAGTGACCTTGCCCAAGTTGTGCTGAGCTCAAGAGGAGCTTGTGTATTTGATTTAAACGCTTCTGCTCCCTTGTGTTTATCTTTCACTTTTAAGAAACTTCTAATTTTCTCAGGTTTTCATGGTAGTAGCTGCATTTACTCCTGAATGTTTCTTCTCAGAGCTGCACTTGAGCTCAAGAGTCCTTGTCTGACAGCTACCTTCATAGCCCTGATTCCTCCTCATGGTTCTGCAGGCTTTGAGTTTCTCATGGTCACCTTGGTCTTTGTGCTTACCTGCCTCCTCAGATCATCCAACAAGGGACTGTCACCAAGAGAACCTTGGAAGCACCATCTAGCCTTCAAAACACCTTCATGGGCTGTGAATTGGAGGCATTCTGCTGTGTCTTAAATTTGTGCTGCTGTGTTTTGATTTAGTTAACATTCTAATAGTGCAAGCACAGATAGACTGGGTTCTACACCTTACTGCAAAATTGTGCGTTTGTGTGGAAATCTGCTTATCTGCAATGGAAGATGAGGACGTGGAAAAACTATATTAAAAAGTGTGTTTCAATTCTAGAGTTATGGGTACTACAGATGGAGTGATAAAAGGAAAATTGATTTTTCTAATTGGAACTATGAAGAACCAAAAGAGAAAATAGCATGTGTCTTCCTAGATCTCAGTGGGGAATGGAAAACAGCACCTTGTAATGAAAAACACTTTTCTGCCTGCAAAAAATCAGAGGGTAAGTTTGATGCTATTTGGTTTTAAGGCAGAAACCTTCCTGAATCTGCCTTGACTTACCTACATATTTCTAAGTATATATTAAGGAATAATACCTTTGTTCTGCAAGAAAAATATTTTATTTTGATGAACTCATCATTCAGCAGGAGAATGCTACAAATTAAAATGCTTCTGTCATACTGTGGGGCGGGATCAAACTTTCTGTTTTCTCACTTGTCCCACTTGTCCTAGATCAAGTGATGTTAGCCCTAGTGATGTTAGCTCTAAAGCAGCGTTAATGGAAATTGAGTTTCTTCTGAGCTGTTTTTCTGTAGTGTGGCTATGATTTCTTTTCTATGCCAAACATTTTCAATTTTCTTTTTAATTAAAAATGTACGTATTAACTGAAAATGTCACTGTTTCACTCTATAATATTATTGCCTGTGGGAAAATGGGGGCAACTACACAAAAATTCAGTGAGTTTCTGATCATTCCATGCATTGTCTGCAGTAAAACTATGTAAGAATTATCATATCAAGGAAAACATTAGATTAAAAACTTCAGTTGTAACTTACAGTTTAGTAGGCGTCTCATTTAAAATCAAATGGTTAGGTTTTCTACCTTATGTTTTTTTTAATCCGCTTTTTACTGTATCTCTTATTTGTATGAAGCTGACACTCATAACAAGTAACTGGAATTTTAAAAAGCCCTGAACACACAGATATCCTTTGAGCATTCAGCTGGTAACGCTGAAGGTTGCAGGTGCACTGTTTAGCTGTGACTGTTCAGTTCTGCTTCTCACTGTCACTTTCAGCGTAGTCACTGGGAATTCTAGCAGCGTGTACTGAAGTAGATTGTCACTACTTTTATGAATTTTTTTAAATTTTTTTTTTAATCTTAATTTTTTTTTTTTCCATATCCAAAGAACTGCAATATCTAATCAGTGAAAGCATCCATAATGTTTCATTTCTTTCAGATATAGTTTCTTCTGATCCTCCACAGGATATTGGAAGATGTCCTCAGTCAGGTCACATAGCTTGGATTCCTTTCCGTAGCTACTGCTACTACTTTAATGCCAATGAAATGAGCTGGGTTCAGGCTGTGACTCGATGCATTCAGTCAGGTAGTAATTGCTTTCATTTGAAGTTGGGATCTCAATATTGACATTAAAAAAAAAAATGAAGATAAAAAAAAAAAAAAAAAAAATTCACTTTTGAAAAATCTTGACAATGTTGCAAAATCTGTGTATATTAAAAAAAAAAAAAGACATTAATGTCATGGTTCATCATTGATGCCGTTCACTTATCACTTATGTTGAAATTAAGGTGATTAGTTGCCTTTGGTTTATTGGTTATTTATTTTTCTTACCAGCTGTGCTTATTCCTGACTCTGGCTTTTTTAGTCCATTCACAGAACTTCTATTTTTAGTGAGGTGTAGAAATGGATTAACTTATCTCTATCCCTATCTCTACTTTTTCTGTATCTCTCCCTACACAAGAGTAGAAGCAAATACTATAATAGCAATTACTTATTTCTAAGATGTGTAATCTGAAGGGGATTGCAAGAACTGCTTGAGAGCCCTCACTTCACAGATGGGTTTCCTGGCAGTTTGTAGAGCCAGGTTAGGGCAAATGTCTCCCTCCATCCTTTTGGGGGGGAGTTTGGCCCTGGCCAAGACCATGAACTGCTGCTTGGCCATGTGCCGCCTGCAGTGCTGAACTGCTTTATACCCAGGTACCTCATCCTTACTTCAGGCAGCTGTGAAGGAGAGAGGGAAGCACTGTTCTGCCCAAAATAACAGGTCCTTTGGTTTCACATCCTATTAGATCCTCTTAGTTTTCTCCTCCTCCACTTACAGTTTGCCTCCTCTGCCAAAAAATTAATCTTGCAGTTTGAATTGCAAATTTGTTTGCTGAGTATTTTTATCTGCTATGTATCAGCCTGTCAAATCCATTAAGAATAAATAATCACTCATAATATCTATGAAAAATATTATCCAAACACTTGAAAAATATTATGTTGTTTTTTTGCCTGATGTTTCGAATTCATCATCCTTTTGTCCTCACCCATCATGCTTTTCATATCTTTCATTTCAAACAATATTTCTGCTAGCCTGTGCTGTTCACCTGTACTACTTTCTAGTCTCTACATTAACCCTTCCTTACTCCCTGCCTTCAGGGAGGGGATTTACTATTCAAGTTGGCCTATATCTGAGCCTCCAATTTTCGCTGACTTCTATCTTAGGGAATACCTCCAACTGTCTTCTCCTTTCTTTCTTATAAGTGATAGGTGGAATGCTGACTTCTGTAGAAGACTTGGCTGAATCCAACTTCCTGTCAGAACATGCAGACTTATACACAAGCAAGACAAGTGGCTTTTGGATAGGATTATACAGAAATATAAGTGGTAACTATTCTAATTTCTACATATGGTCATAAATAGTATTCATTAAGTACAGTAAATGGAAGTATGATTTGGATATATTTTTGCTTTCAGTGAACTAATTCTAGGTAAAGACAAAAAATATATTTAAAAATTACTGGTAGTTTGTTATTTTAAACAATATCTGTGACAGTCTGTAGGAAAAAAAAAAAAGTTTGCTTGGCTCCAGTGAAGGATCTTGGCTATTGCCTGGACAAAGGGTATATGCCTTCCTGCCAGCACAGCGCTGCCAGGTCTATTGGAAGGAATATTCTCACCGGCTTTCTTTGTGTCTGGTTGGGAATGTCCTCCACACTCCAGCCTGCTCTTGACTGGGCAGTGCCTGCACTGCTGGTGTCTGGCTGGAGTTCTGTCAGGCTTCACGAGTAGAGAAAATTAAATAATTATACTGAAAAGCAATTATGCTGTTTTTAAGGAGAATAAGAAAAAATACATTATAAAATAGCCACAAAATGGTGGAAGTGGTATCACTTTATTAGGCTGAGTAAATTAATTAATAGAGAAAAAATAAACATAAGTGAAGATCTTTGATATGTAATGCCTGGTACTGCTAAAATATCTGCAACACCAGGGCAGCTGCTCTGGCAAGACAACAGTGCATTGGACTTTGTCAACTGGGGTGAAGCAGAGCCCTTGGAAGAGCAGCGTGAGAACGAGTACTGTGTGCAGCTCTCTGCCTCCTCTGGGTCCAGGAATAGCATCCCTTGCTCCTCCAGAAAGGGTTTTATCTGTAAGACACCAAAGAGTAAGTAACTGATTCAATATATGCTTTTGATGTTATGGCATTCTGTTAGCAGTAGCAACGCGCAATATCTTTATTATAAAAAGCACACGAAAAATCCCATAAAATGGTTTATGGACTTTTCTCTATTGCTTATTTCAACATTCAGAAAAAAAGTGTTACAAACAAATAGACACCTCATCATGTTTTATTGCATTGTAACTTCAGATTTTCTCACATTCTGTAATGAGTTTTCAGTTCCCAACTAAAGAGGTTCAGTGTTTCCTGTAAAATTGTTAAACTCTTTGTGGCTTTGCTCCCCTCTGATAAACACACATTTCTTCCTTCTAACATCAAACCTTTGCTACAGAACAAGACTTGTATCAATAATTTGCTTTTCTTCCTCTTTCTGTACTGTTACACGCTGTTCCAGCAACAGATAGATGAAGCAATTCCATTTCAATAATAACAGAACGGAAGCAAAATCCAGAAGATGTATAGTGACCTTTAAAAATAGTAGAAGTGTTTTGGTTAGCATTTACTTTTTAATGTTGTGTTTCTATGTAATTGAGCACCATCTGTTTTGGTCAGGAAGCAGAAATATCAGAATACAGTGAGCCAAGAGCCATGTGGTATTTTTGACTTTAACTGCTAATTCCACAGGATAAAAAAAAAAAAAAGAAAAAGAAGAAGAAAAAACAACAGTATTATTTCCTGCTCTGTTTTGCAAACCGAGGGTTTGGGGTGTTTCCGAGGTTCTGCCCTTTCTCCTAGCAGAGCAGAGCTGCATCTGGTGAGGAAGGCAGCTGTACACACTGGTAGTGATGGCAGAGCATTTTCAGAAAAGGAAAATTCCTCTTTTGAGGCAACTCCTTGTATTCTTTGAGCAACTAGAGGAAAAGTCACTTCAGAAAGTTAATTCCTAGTTACCAGCCGTGGCAGAAAACACACACTCAGCACCTACACTTATTCTGTTGTCTGGGTTTGTTAGTGAATGGCCCTTAAGTGCAATACCAAAACAATGCCAGCACATATCCCTGCTGCCAGGCTCTCCAGCAGAGTGGTTTATCAGAACAAGGCAAATATTCCACTACAGAGAGCTCAGCATCCTTCCAAGAGATGATTTAACAATTGCTTTTCTCCTGCCTGCCAACAGCCTGGAGCTCAACGTGCACAGTGCTCAGCTCCTCATGCCTTTTGCACTGACACCACCCCGCTACCACTGGCATCTCTTTCCCATGGTGCCCTCTTAGCACAGCTGGGAACAACTGCACAGGAAAGCCTGAGCTGATAAATGTGGCTGCAGATGCAAATGAGTTGTGGTACATCAGAATGTGCAGGGTCTCATAGGAACTGCTTGCTGTCTGGGAGAGTTTTCGAATATCAATGATCAAGCTGTTTTTTGGCCTGCTGGCATGCAGACCTAGTAAAGAGGACAAGATGGATCGACCAAAGGAGAGCCTGCCTGACAGTCAGAAGGTACCTGCGGATATTGAAAAAGAGGCAGGAAGGCTTATAATGCAAAACATTGTAGTTTCATTACAGTGTATATCAGGTTAAAATCATTCATGCGCTTTCATCTTCATTTAGCAAACGTGGAGAAGTAGTGAACTGCTGAGCTTGGAATTGTCTGGATAGAAATGTGCTTTTGACTAAACATCTGTCTTTCTCTTTGACAGCTGCTCCTGAAGCAGTTGCAAATGTGAAAGGTAGGCCGTATTTTTCCTTCCCAATAGTTTCAAGGAGATGTAAAAATAAATACTTGCTTTTTAATGAATGGGCACGTATAATTTACTTGACTTCTGTATCTTTATTTATGTGGGCTTAATTTACTGTTGCCATTGAATTCACTACTAGCAACACTTAGCAGTACCTGGGAGACATACAGTATCTCAGGAAAAATAAATGCTTATGTAAAATGATCTTCCTCTGTTTTGTCCTTCTTTTGTATGCTAAAGTAACTGACGCAGTAACACTACACTGGATTTTCTAATGTAATTGTTATCATGAAAAAGCATACAATAGTATTTACATTGTAATGACCAAAGCTTCTTTACCTAAGAGAACAGTGGAAGTAGGCCACGGATGTTGAAATTAACTTCTACTTTCTTCATAAGCTTGGGTTCCTAATTAACACCACAGTTAACACCACGGGAAAAATTAGACCTGTATTTTTTTAGAAGTTTACATATTTATTTATGCATGTAAGTAGACCTACTTCTACTTGCTTTACATTTATTTACAGGTGGCCAAAAGGACAAGGATCAGAGCACTGTTTGGATACTCCTTATTCTGGTTCTCGTAATTTTAGTAGGCATGGGCATCATGGTTTATTTCTTCTTCAAGATCAAAATCCAGAGTGAGGCTGAACGAGCAGTGGGGCAGCACAGCATGCTGGTGGAGTACAGCAGTGCCCTGGCCAGAGAGAACAACGAAAATGATTCTGCCAGCAGCGAAGGAGGAAGTGAACGCAGTGCTGTGTAATGTGATAACAGCTACTCTATAAATCCAAGCTTTAAAAGTAATCTAGCTAGAACAAATAAATCTTAGTAAAAGTTACATGTACCAACATGCAACTTGAACTAAAGCGGCAATTATTCCTTTGGTATGGGTTAGGCACTATAGAGCATCTGTGAGTGAGATATCTGTCCTTCATTCATGGCTTCAACTTAGATTAGACATACCCTGCAACTTTGAATATTTTGCATTAACTATGAGACTGTAAAGGATCTGTCTATCTGTAAATAAAAGATCTATATCTTATGTAATGGTACTTAAGTGTTGTCGAATTAGCACATGGAGATGTTATATGATTGGTGATTCAGTGTGTCATTAACCTTGAGAGGCTAACAGGAAGAAACATGAAAGCAAGTCATATAACTAAGAAGAAATATAAGTAAGCCGTAAAATAACATAAGTGACAAATAAAGCTGGTAGAATATATTCCTGTTTTTACTTCACTTTGGCAGCTCATTTTTGGATGTCTTCTCTTATTATCCTCCAGCTCCCTGAGTGAGCTGAAGACAGGACACTGTGTCCATGCCTCTCCTGAGAAAACAGTCCAGCAAGGAGCAGAGCATAGAGCATAAACATGCTGCCTTACAGCATTACTGTGCTGTTTGTTTTCTCTAAATTCTATGTGTGTGGCTAACTGCAAAATGAAACAAAAAAGATTTCAAGGATTTCAGGGGAAAACAGACCCTTGAAAAGTTCGTAAGAACTGTACAAGAGAAGTCAGTGGGAAGGAATGTCCATGCATACCCATGACATTAGACTCATCGCTGGCAGATATTGCTGTCAAACAAAAAATATTGCAGAGGTCAGGGAATGAAGGGTGTTCTGTGTTTGAGATATTTTTACTGAGTCCCCTTCATCTTGCACATTTTTTTTCTTTGTATAAATTACGATGTACCCATGTTTATCTTTTTTTAAGTACTGACACTGATTTCAGTCAAGTGCTGCTTGATGGCCACTGATATACCATAAGCAAACAATAAGAGTAAGCAAATGAATAAAACCCCCATAGATATAACAAATAATGTCATTATAATTGTCATATTTTTATAGCTGATATTGGTAGACTATATCTCTGTAACTGGTTTTCTTCTCATACATTAAGTGACACTTTAGCTTTGCGGAATATATTGTGAATTTGTCTTAATAACAAAGCTGCAAAAAGTATGAGAAATTCTGAAGGCAATTTCTGCTGAATATTTTTCCTTCAAAACAAAGGATTTTATTTTTCCTTACACCATGGCTAAATTTCATTTCCTCTTAATAAAGGGTTACAGCTCATTTCTTTGAGATTATTTCTCTTTGTCTCACACTTGGTGCAAGAAACAAATTATTTAGAGTTAAAATGCATTCATACTTTATGTATTAAATACTTTTGAAAGATTGCTTCCTGTATGGGAACTGTTGAGTCGTGGCCTGAACCACTGATTGATCCCCTGAGGCAAGCACTGAGTAAGTCATGGGAGCACAGGTGAAGGCAATTCAGCTGCATGACTGGAAAGGGTGGAGCCTGGCTGCACCTCTCTTAGATCCCATTTAAGGGCTGACTGCCACTGGGGAAGGATCTCTTTCTGGAGAGACTCCTTTTGGAGTTTTCTACTGCTGGCCTCAGATGTGGGTGAGCGTTTCGTTTTTGATGTGTCTTTCCAGCATGATAAACCTATGATATACTATTCTAACCATGCTACTCTTCTAACTGTACATTTGTGTTCTGTACATTTTCAAACTATTTTGTTGTTAAAATCTCTAGTTAACAGAAAGATTTGTAAAGATTTGTCTAATTTCTATTGGTTCTCCTGAGTCAAATTTGCGTGAAATTATGGCTCTGTATTTTTACCTGTTTGTCACTGAAAATGAAGTTTCAGATGCAAATCTGAATTCTGTGATTATTTATATATTTCAAAAATATCACATGTGACAGGATGTTTCCTTATTTAGCGTCAAGTTTTCTCTGTCAAACAAAATTCTCCAAAGCTGAGGAGGACCCAGCACCAATTATTCCTTTAAGATTTCTACTGCAGCAATTAAGCTTATCTCTTTGTGATTAAGAAGAAAGTAATGAAATACTTGACTTCTGCAATCTTAATTTTCTTCTCTTTTGTTACTACTGCTTTTCTGGCACTTGGTGAGTACTTGTCTTCTATCTCCTGCAAAAATAGATGTGAAAGTGAGAGTTTTTGTTCTCTTGCTCTTTTCTCAAGTTCTTAAAGATTTTCTTATACAGCTATTCTGCATGTCACATTCATCCTAACTGGAGTGGTTCTCAAAAGTTTAAGAAATATGCAGTTAAAGACATTGGTTCATTTTTAAGATGTAAAGAAGATCAGAATAGGGCAAAGTTGGAAGTTAGGAGTCAGGACAATGGGGGCAATAGCTGAAATTAAGTACACTATGCTATGCTCTGTAGTAGTTAGATGTAATAATTAAAAGATTTAATCCAACTTACAGCTTTCTGCTTAAATGGATAAGGTAAGAACTATGTCTTAGTTCTTAATTTAGATTTGAATAAGTGAAACTTCAATAAACTACTAAACTGTTATAAGTTACACTGGACCTTAGGAGAGCTAGAGCATTAAATGCAAATATAATAATAATAAAAAAATCATCAAAAGTTCATGAATCAGAAGTTCTTAAGACACTTTCTGTTCTATTCTCTACTCAATACCAACAGTATTCTAATATCTTTTCCCATCTTAGGAATTTGCTTTTGTTCCCTATGCAGTTACTGTCTTGGACAAATAGCAGAGGGATGTTACATCTCTCTTCAGGAATTAAAGATGTGAAGTACTGAAGGGCAAACCTTTGCCCTCCTGTCCCATAAGTCCTAGGGCTGTCCCTGTAGATGAAACTTATCTCCCTTGTGAACCAAAACTAGTGAGAGTTATATGAAATCATGAAAAGCAGTTGTGCACAGAATGATGGCAAACTTCTGAATCTTCCATGAGGTTTCTTTTGGAAATCACAACAGGCATATATATTTCATATATATTTCAGGATGCATATGGAAAAATAAAATCTATTATACTTATGAAAATTCCATTATACTGATGACATTTTGGAAACAATGTCATGATATAATTTAATTTCTCTTGTTCCCATGTACTGTATTTACATGAGTTGCATGCATTTTTCTCTCTTGGAAGAAAACCTCTTGAGAACGCTGTGTGACTTTTGTGAAAGTGATTCAGAACTCCAAGTCATATGACATGAGTCAGGCGACCAGTGTAGAAACAGCAGCAGAACATGCCCCTTTCCTCATAATCTCCCCTTGCTATTTCTGTACACATTAATTCTTATTATTTTCTTTTACAGACAATGAAATATTTTTAATGTATAATGAGGATAGTAAACTGTGCCTAATTGCTCAGAGTTCTCATGCAGTCACAATAGCTGCTTGCAAAAAAACCAGTGAATTACAGAAATTCAGGTGGGTGTCCGACCACCAGGTGATGAGTGTGGCATTTGCACAATGTTTGGGAGTGCGCTACAAGCAAGATCAGGCTAAAATTTCTTTGTATCCCTGCAACGAAGAAAGTGAATTCCAAAAATGGGGCTGCAGAAACTCAACCTTGGTAATCCATGGAGAGAACTTATTTCTCAGTGTTGGTAAAAGAAAGAAAGATAATATTGTACTGGACTCAGGATCAGATACAATGAACAAATGGAAGATCTATGGAACCATGGATGACTTGTGTTCTCAAGGCCATGAAGGTAAATTTTGAAGATTAATCCTAACAGTGACTTGTGCTCATTTGCCATAGCAGGTAGTGCCCTTTTATTTCTGCTCCTGGTAATCTAACAGCAGCTGCTCCCCTTGAAGCAATGGTGGGCTGGAAGACAATCAGTTCACACAAGTCACATTCCTCCATCCTGAGATATAACGATACTTGGCTTCAGACGGAAGACAGTATATGTGCAAAAAATTGCAGTTTTTTATTTACTTTCAAAACAAATCAATCTAGTATCTAGCATATGTTTTGTTATTAGCTCTAAACTAAGCATTTCAGTTTATTTAATTGGCTGGTACTAAAATACTAGTTTAGGTGTTGTTGTTGTTGTTTTTTCCAATACTAGTAAAATATTATTAACAATGTTGGATAAAAGACAAAAAACTTTTTAAGATTAATTCTCCAATAGTAAGTGCAAATAAATAATCCCATACACACTACCATTCTGTTCTTCCACAAGGTTTCAGATGATTGGTTTTTTTTTTTGTTTTGTTTCGTTTTTTTAAATACATGACTAATTTATATGGGATGGCAGGAAATTAACATACTTGAAGAAAGAAATAATTTTCTAAAAATAGCATTTTATGTGACAAAATTTTATAGTACAAAATTTTTATAGTACAAAATTGTCTCATTTCCAGTTGTTACAGCTGGTGATTTCACGAGATGATGGTAAATTGCAAGATCTATGCAGAGGTTTTGTGAAAGACTGCTGATAGCAGTAGGTGTCCAGTTACACTAACATAACATGTGGAATACTTCCTCTGCAAAATTTTTAGGGAGTAGTGATGGGTAGAGATTCTCTCACTCATACTATCATTTGTTTTATCCCTGTAGATCTATTTACACTGCTAGGAAACTCCCATGGAGCTCCGTGCACCTTTCCTTTTCAGCTGAATGGGAAGTGGTACGCAGGGTGCACAGATGCTGGCCGGTTGGACGGCTTGCTGTGGTGTGCAACGACCCCCAACTTTGACATCGATCACTTGTATGGGTTCTGTCCCATTGGCAGTAAGTCCTAAATGCTGATGTAGGTGCTGTAATGCAACACCATTAGGTAAATATAACAATATGGGGGTAATGTTACTAACATGGAAGGGAAAACTATGGTAGTTGCATTATTTTACTAAGAAATGTCTATGCCATATCATAATCTTCCTTACAGGGGAAAAAAAAAGTCACGCTGGAATTGCTGGGGTATGTCACTAAGTAGCTAACAGCTGGGAGAAGGCCAGTAGGCTTTAGATGTGGCTGTATTTAGCTAAAGCATTTGAAAATTGAGAAGCTGTTCAGAGTGTAATTATCCTAGTGTCATTGCTACTTGTGATATCATCATTCCTGTTCTGCGTCACAAAATTGATAAACAGTTCACGGGAAGAGGCAGGTTTTTTTCTAAAAAGCAAAAAGGAAGAACTGTCTCACAGATCTTCCTAGAATGGCCATTGACAGCTTTCTCCTGTCATGCTTCCT